ACCATGTTAACCTCTCCTACAATAACTCTGGTTTACTAACGATTATGCTCCTGAATGCTAGATCTCTCCTTAACAAAATAACATCGCTTCGCTGCCTGGCATACATAGAACGGCCAACACTAATAATGGTGACTGGAACCTGGCTTACTACTGATATACCTGACTCAAAGCTAGTAGTAGACAACTACAACATCTATAGGAACGATAGAGTTGACAAAAGAGGAGGCGGCTGCTTAGTATATGCCTCTAAATACACTAACTCCAATACTTTCAATAAACCAACTACTGACAAACTCCCTGAATCTAAGTGGATAAGCACCCACACAAAGGAAAACAAAATTCTCGTGGGATGTATATACAGACCCCCTAATAGCTCTGAAATGACTGATATAACTATTGGAGAAATACTAGAGCATGTAGCTACTTGGACTTTGACTACAGAGTAGTCTGTGGCGATTTCAACTTACCTGGAGTAAACTGGGATACCTGTACAGGACCTAGAATCCATGACGAGCTACTACAAGCTATAGACGTAAGCGGATGGAAGCAGTGCGTACGCCTCCCTACAAGAAATGAAAACACTCTTAACTTAATCCTTTGTCATGAAATAGAGCCCATCTCAATAGAGGTAGGAAATAAACTTGATAACAGTGATCACAACATATTGTACTGCACGCTACCATTCCGACTAACAACTAAACACACACCTAAAAATTCCCCGGTGCACTATCAATATAGGGACTATAAGAACGCCGATTGGGAATTCCTATCAGATCTGTTGAGAAGTTCTGACTGGGAAGAATACTTCATCAACAATAACTTAGAAGTATCACTTGAGATTTTCTACAAAACAATTGGCTCAGCAAGAGACACAATCGCGCCCCTAAAATCTGCTCTAAAGACACCAACTCCAACGCGACTAAAACTAAAGAAATTGAAAAGGAAATACCATGTATGTAAGGAATTTAATGCGTTAAACCAAATACATGAAACTCTTAAACGGCTTGAAGAGAAACACAAAATGAGGTCACAACTTGAAGAAAATAAAGCGCTTGTGGGCAACTCCAAAACTCAGGAACTTTGTAGGATATTGCAGAAACGTCTAAAAAGCAGCAAAGACAATACTGTAAGCAGCTTAGAACATATACAATGATCCCCAGGTTATAAGTGAACTCCTCAATGAGTGGTTTTGCAATGACGCCAGAGTGCACCCGACCCAAAATTTCCAAATGACCTGCAAAAGTAACCACAAATTAGGCGAAATAGACTTTAATATACAAAATATAGACTCAGCGATTAAGACTTTGAAGTCTAATGGTAGTACTGGAACAGATGACATACCATCTGTCATGTACAAAAATGGTAGCACGGAAATGGTAGTCTTGTTACTTAGAATATTTACTCTCTCATTAGAAACTGGAACTTATCCTGAAGTGTGGAAAACCACATACATATTACCTAAGCACAAAGCAGGGGCCAAAACCAGTGTATGCAACTATAGACCTATCAATATAACACCGGTAATATCCCGAATAATGGAGAAAGTGGTTAAAGACCAAGTGTCAGACAACTTACTAGAACATGAACTTATCAATCCATCACAACACGGATTTCTTAAAAAAAGATCATGTGTGACCTGTCACATAGACTTTTTCAACGAAGTCCCACGAAGTAGAGACAACAGAGAACTAGTAATTGTACTATATTTCGATATAACAAAAGCCTTCGACAGAATTCCCCATAATCTGCTAGTCAGCGGGTTATGCTCACTAGGGATATGTGACCCTCTCCTGAGCTGGATAAAATCATTTCTCTGTGGCCGAAGTCAGACAACGAAAGTTGGCTAGATAATCTCAAGGCCAATAAGTAGTGATGTGATCCAGGGAAGTGTATTAGGCCCACTCTTATTCGTAATATATATAAACAGTATCTGTGAATGCTTTAGTGCAGGTAAACCAATACTATATGCAGATGACTTAAAAGTGACGTATAAATGCAAGAACACAGATCTTGGAATAACAGTAAACGCCATACAGCAGGAATTAGAAAAAATGGATAGATGGTGTGACACCTGGCAACTCCAATTTAATGTCGAAAAATGTGGCTGGCTCTGCATAGGTTGCAACAATTTAGAACTTGACCTGAAAATTCAAGGCCATGCACTTCTACGACTGGAGTCTGTACTGGACCTAGGGCTGAAATAATCACATAACTTATCATTCTCTGAACACATCTCCAAACAAGTGTCAAAGTCACGCAGACTTATCGGCTTTCTACTCAGGAACTTCTACAGAAATGAGTCTAGAATTCTGTTGTACAAGGTTTGTGTGCGTCCTTTATTTGATTACTGTTCATTCATGTATAGCAGTACACGCGTACAGGACAAATTGAAAGTCGAGGGAGTGCAGAGGTACTTCACGTTAAAATTACTCGGAACCGAGAATAGTGTGAACTACTCCACTAGATGTGATACCCTAGGACTAGAAACACTATGGCTAAGACGCCTGAGAGTAAACTTAACACTACTATAAGCTTCTAAACCACTTAGTTTTTACCTCTACTAATGGCACTCGACTTTCAGATGACAATGGCTACAAACTAAGACACACTAAGGGTACAGTGGCTATCGAACAATGTAAAACAGCCACCAGGCAAAAGTTTTACTTGATTAGGTATGCACAGATATGGAATAAGCTACCAATGGAAATGCGTCAAGCAAGTACATTGGCCCCCTTCGGAAAGGTGCTTAATGACAAACTACAAGAGTTTGCAAACGATAGTAGTTCTAGTTCCTATCTGAGAGCCTCCGAAATTATAGGTCCATTTAATGTATAAGCTTAAATACTACGCATGTTGTGTTTTGCCTATATTTATAATTCTAGATGAAACATTAACGGTTAAGATACGTATCCTCAAACAGACAAGAAATCTCGTTTGTAAAACTGCTACCCAACACAATAAGTGGAATAAAATGGACATAAACTGACAACATGAAAAAGGTATAACTCACCACAACATCACATGGACAGATGTACTCTCGTTGGGCCACATATATCCCTCACCAACTGCAACCCACCTTTCCTTAGATAATGTGATGAACTTATATCAATAATGTTGCTGAGCAGCTAATATTCTCAACTCCTGTCGGAACAGCTGAAATTCATAAACCTTCCTCACGCTAAGAGAATTCCCACAAGCAGTAAAAATCCATTAATTAATGCGTCTGAAGCTTATGTATTTACTCCCAACAATGACGTTGCAGATCAAATGAGATAAACATATCACTGATTTCAAAATAATACATCAATGAACTATAATTCGAGGATTCTGCACACAACAAAGTTATGTATGAATATTGACTTCAAGCTTTATTTTTTTTCCCAGGCACTTATAATCCATCCACCAAAGACCTGGTTTTTTTGTTAATGCGAAGACAATACTTCTGTATATCCTGATGTGGTGCACTCACTGACAATCTAGCAGATTTTTCCAACTTTGCACAGAAATGATTGTATATAAGTGAAAAGGCTGTTTTATGCTACTGGGATTAACATTTATCAAGTGTATGTATTATCTCCAGCGAACATGTAAAGCATATCTTGCTACTGCCTGTAAATTGTGATTGAATTATATGGTTCTATTTCTGTAACAGTTTGATGATGCCTGTAAACTGGCGTCCCTCATGTACTGTACTATGAGAATAAATTTATTTATTTATTTATTATTACTGATACGTATACATATATCACCTTCAGATTTAATCAGATATCTGTTTTACGTTTTCTTTATTAATTTTTCTGTCTTTTGGTCTGAATAACCTACACTAAATATATCCATTATTATTATTCTCTGTTTTCTTTTGACGACTATACTGGAGGACTAACTGGTGAAAGGATCAACTCCATTCACAGTAGTTACAGTCTTAACACACCGCATACTACAAACAACATATAATTAATCGCAGCACTACTCCGTTTGGAGTCAACCAAAGCTACGACAGTCGAGTGGTGGGAGGAGCTACACAGAAGTTTACCGAAGATCAGGAAACTTTACCCCAAAATCAAGAGGCTAGCACAAAGTAATTAAACTGGTTCATACTAGCCCATAAAAGCGATATTGGAAGTTGGATAGATGGAACTAACTCTGCGCATTTACCAGGCATTTAGTTCGCAATAGGGCTCACCAGTTTAGAGGCTGAAGGTATTGACGTTCACAGATAGTACGAAGTATACTAATGCAAGATCCTATACGCACAACTTCTATAGTATTCGTTCCGCGTAAACCAAGGTCTGAGCAAAACACAAGAATTGACCGTCCAAATTACTAATTATATTTCGGGACCAAATCGGAGTGCCGGATGATTGCTTAACTAGCTAGGGATCGTGCACGAACGAACGTAACACGACAGCGTTCCAAATAGCGTGGATGCTTGACCGGAAGCCTTCAGCTAAACAAATCGACTAAAACAGTGATGGTCAGCATCCAGTATTCAGTGATGAATGCTGTGGCCAATAATTCTGGGGAATTACTTAACACTACATGCTCATCTGGTAATCAGGTGGTCTTTGTTTCGATCCCTGGAGTAGTCTCACATGGTTTGTCTAGGAATATTCCTGAAATATGGCAGAAAGGCTGTTCACACCTCCTTGGTTTTCAATGGTTTTCTAATTACTTTGGTTGACTTGAATTCCAACTTGTAATCATCCAACACCCTAAAACGTCAGTAAACTAATCTGAATACGTTCAAAAAGTTTAAACGATCCATCAGAGGTGGTTCATGAAACCTAGTGCATTTGGATCTACAACAGAACTAAAACTGCTCTTCAGAATCGGGAAGTATGAACCCTTACTCTTTACAGACAAATCAGCTATTGCAATTGGGAAACTACATAAAAAACTTTATTCTCCCTCTGTTACTACACGTATTTATCAAAGAGTTAAACTCTGAAATCTCAAGATCACATTATCCCGTACTACTTGCATTGTGTTTGTTATAAATCCGTGAAAGCAATTGTGGTATTTTAATTTCAAGGTTACTTTTACCAGACATGTGTTTGATATGAATGGTTCCCTATATGAGGATTCTGATGACGAGTACTACGATTGCCAGACAGAAGGTAGAGTTTTATTTGTTTCATTTTTTTGTCAGCTCGCTTCTATGCTGTAGCTTCTCCTAGAGACAAGGGTCACGGTGAAGTTTTCGTCGACCCAAAAAAGGCTTATTTGAAACTACGTGGAATCAAGGGTGCCAGACTTAAACTATTTAACAATCATATTGATGCTAACAAGTATGCAGATACACCAGTTGATGATGACAAACTCATCAATCCATATCCTGCCGTAAGCTAAAATATTCTATTTGACTTTGAATTATTAAGTCACCCAAACCTGACATTGAAAGTAGCCCGTATCCTAATGTTACTCAGCAAACTTTGATACGCTTCCGTTCTTTGATTAGCAGTGGTGATGTCCAAAGTGTTCAACGAATGGTTGACGAAAACCCGATGGTTTTAGTTACCTCGTGTGATACTCCCACAATATTGCAAGTAAGTATTACCATTAAAACTTTACGCGTATAATGAGACTTTCTCATTGTCTGCTGGTTTTTTATTTCCTAATTTTTTTTCGGCTTAAAATCTGTCCTCACATTCCTTGTTGTGCCATCTTTACGATGAACTTTGTGGTGGTGAGATGTTTATTATAGAGAATTATCGAATGACTAGTTTTAGGGCACTTGATCTTTTTCACGGTAAATATCGTAGTTTAGAAATTTATCTGTGTCTGATTCTTTAAGTGTTGCGTGTGTGTGTGATAGTGATTGTTCCAGATATGGGATAAGCAACTACTTTTGTTCGTTTTTGTCATACGCCATTTGACCAACTTTATTGCATACACTGCCTTGTATGTTTTTGTAGGAGTTCTTATTAAGTACTAGTAAGTTTTACCCTGCATAGTAGTGTCGAATTGAATATTACTTAGACAAACAAGTGGACTGTTTCTTTGAAAGTCTATGTAGAGGAAATAGATGCTTGTGACAGTCTTTGAATCAACTGAAAAACAACAACAACAGGAAATGGAATCCAGGAGGAATATGCTGTTGAAGCTCAATATTTCACCCGGAACCCAAATAGAAAATATTAATAATGTAGGAATGTATAATACCTTGTGGAATTAGAACACTTGGCCTGTTGGGTTTACATATTTATCAGTTCTTAGTATAGGATGTTTATTGTAGTGTAAAGTACTTTGTATTCTGTAAATGTTTTTATTTATGGAAATGAACTTAATAAGATGAATGTATTTTATCAGTCACTGAAACTATAAAACGATAAACTTGGCAGAATGTGTAAATATTAGTGTCTGTATATGGTGAATGCCTATTCACCCAATGACTGTGGTGTGGACATTGTCAACAGTGTGATAATGCGGCGCATTGTCATTCAGCCAATGACTGCCGATTTCGAGTCCTTTTTCAACTACTTTAGCTTGGGAAACTGGGTATTGATAAAAATAAATAGTTAACGACCGTTCACGTTAACGATTAATGCTTAACACTTATCTGAACTTGATCGGAAAACGCGGTGGCTGTTTTACTTGTTTTCCCCGATTGACTCAGGTCGGAAAGCCGAGTCAGTGAAAAAATACACCACTACTGTGTAGCCACTTGTGGTAAAAAGGTCTTCAAAGCTTTTACTTTCATAATGTCAGTATAAGTATTTGGAGAGTTAATTTGTAGAGTTTCGATTTGTTTGATAATTGATTGATATGAGTTGGAGAACCGGTACTTCCCAGTTTCCAATGGTTATCTAACTGATATCAATTCGTGATCAAAATTGATACGAATCAGATCCCTACAAACGAACTCCTGAAAATTAATCTGACGCTTGCTAGTGACTGGCTACAGGACAAAGTTGCTTGGAGTTCTAGTGAGAAGTAGTGACCAGTAGAGTCCATCTGGTCAGACATACGGACAAATACTCGCTACGAATGACATTGGCAAGTGGTCGCACTAAAATCACGGATTGGTGAAATTCAGAATTCATAAACCATTGACTCAGGTCCCGGTAGCTGAGTGGTCCACAAACTTGCCTGGTAACGGGGAGGTCTTTGGTTCGAACGCCAGCGTGTGCGTATTGCTGAGGAGTCACACGCCAGGGCGAAACGGCTGTCCACCACTCCTTGGATTTTAGCGGTCGTCTAACGAAATATGATAGATATTATGAGAAAGTATAAGTACTGTGACTACATTTTAAAGTTTTGTATATATATACCGAATAGTATGGTTCACAGCCATGCTGTTCGATGTGTTCACTGCGTTAAATGTACTTGTTTGTTACGAACATTTGGCATAGTAATTTTTTACCTGCTATTTAATATTTTATTTATCGTTCTCTGGTAGAAGTTAATTTTTAGAAAGTCATTAACATTAGCAGCAAGACAGTGACTGTTTTGTATTTTTTGCATATGAACAAGGAATTATTTCATGCCAGCTTATATTAGTTACTTTTAACTAATGGGTCTAGTGGTAACATTATGAGCTACAAGGTACATTGGTTAATAATTTTGCAACTTTTCAGGTGGATATTTCAGCTACATAACTGTTATTTCATCTTTTTCCCTTTCTGATTATTCTGCTTCCCGTATATTTATTATAAAAATACAAACTTGTTACAAGATTTCATCATGAGCTGACATTGGTTAGAGAACCATTGGAACAGCTGGGTTCGAACCCCGGTGGGTGCGTGCTGTTGAAGAGTCCCAAACTGGGACAAAACAACTGTCCAGTACTCCCAGGTTTTCTAGTGGTTCTCTAACCAATGTCAGCTCATGATGAAATCCTGTAACCAATCAATCAAATCACTACAAACCAATATTTAAATAACAAACTTGTTACATTATGGGCACCAAAAGATGTACCACACGAAATCTTATAACTTGTGGCAGGACCGGAGTACTTCTAAAATGCCCATACCGAAACAGGCGGTTGTCCCTCCTACTAGCCTTAGATTTGAAGTCTGATATACAAGGTAATGGAGTAGCGTCCAGAGCTACGTTCTTGTGGTTCTCAGTGACCAGGACAAGTTCAAAGGCCATCGCATTCTTTCCTATTCTTGAGCCCATGTACGGCGCACTTTTGGAATCAAGGTTTTCCAGCTCTCTTATCTGGACCTGCATGGACCTATCAGTTCTGTTGTGTGGCAAGTGTTCACATTGGCCCACCGCTACATGAAAGCAGTGAATAGTACTTACCTGACAGAGGCTATAAACGCGTGGCCAGATGAGAGGATTTCGAGAGGAAAACCGAAGTCTGCCCTCCTTTGGCTGTACCAACCAGGTCGTTAATGAGGGCTATTCTACTTTAATAAACACTGATATGATGTTAGTGGAACTTCATATCAGTTCATGTATTATCCCTTTGGGTCCTATTCTCTGCGGACCTCTGTAGCTGGCCGCACGATTGACTATAGTCTCTCATCTCCTTCTCACACGATATCCTCCATGGTCACCGTCGGGGCAACGTCCAACTCGCTGTTTCTCATTCAGGTTCCACTCGAGCGACGGCCTGGTTTGCGATATCATTCTCTTCAGCATGTGCCTAGTACGTTTCGGCGTATTTGTTGAGCGATAAGCTCTTGATTGGTTTGTTTCCCTTGGTTTCTTGCCGCTAATTGCTTCTGACCAGTCGATCATTTGATCTTCAACATGGAACCAGCGAAGGCACCTGTTGATAAAAGTCTGCAGTGGTCTGTTGTAAATGCTTTTCGTGACGCGTAGTGCAAGTTTATAACCCCCAAAGAAGAAGTAACTGACTTAACAGTGGTGTTGAAAATTCGAATTTTGTTATTTATTCTGACTCAGTGCAGCAGTTTTCCAAACTGATTTCAAAGTGTTGAAGGTGTACCTTGCATTTCAGATTCTAGCTTTGATATCTTCATCTATGCTGTCGTGTGTAGTTGGAACGATGCTTCCTAGCTAAGTGAAGGCAGTTACTTCTGTCAAATTTCTCCTGTTGATGGTGTTTGTTGCTGTTGATCGGTTATCTTCATCACCTCGGTCTTCTCTATGCTCACTTGGATTCCTGTCTTCTTGGCTTCTTCAGCCAGTTTGTTGCTTTTCGACTGTAATTCTTCGAGTTTGTATGACATCAAACGTAAGTCATCTGTGAAATCCAGACCTCCTTGAGTCTTCTTATCGATTCAGCGTATTAGTGTCTTCTCGCTGTCTACGCAGGATGTACTGTATGTTACCCATTAACCGACATTTTCAATGAATCTTTTTCCAAAAGTATTATTCCTGACTCATGGAAAAATATCAAGGTTGTTCCAGTGCCTAAATCAACAAGTGAACCTACTGTTAAGTTTCAACCGATTGCTATTACCTCACCTTTTTTAAAAGTTATAGAAAGACTTATTTTACTTAATCTTGAACCCTCTTTAAAGCCTTTTAATGACCCCAACCAGTTTGCCTATAAACATAGTAGGTGTACCTTAGATGCCGCTGTTGTTCTATGTCATAATATAGTTTCTTGTTTAGATAGAGGAGCCAAATATGTTCGGTGTGCCTTCCTTGATTACACAACTGCATTTGACTCTGTTCCTAGGTCTCTCTTGCTAAGTAAGCTTGCTGCAACACAGAGTGAGAGCTGGACAAATAAGTGGTTGTATTCCTATTTTTCTGATAGGAAGCAGTACACTGTCTACAATGGAAAGTCCTCCACTACCTCACTTACTTTAGCTGGTGTTCCTCAAGGTGCTGTTCTTTCTCCTTTTCTGTTTTCTTTTTTCTTACATGACTTGTCCCATTCTGATGTAGCCACTTTTGTCAAATATGCTGATGACCTCTCTGTCTCCATGCCTGTCAACTCTCAGTCAGACTGTTCCATATTAAATAACTTTCTCTCGGAAATTAGTCAGTGGTCCTCTTCAAACGGTATTAAGCTGAATCCGTCTAAATGTCAGGTAGTAAATTTCACTTTCAGAGGAAAATGTGACCTACAACAACTAGCTAGCTCACATGGTCCCACTATCATTGACGGCACAGAGGTTGAAATTACATCTAATGTCAAGTACCTTGGACTTAGTATTTCCTCCGACCTTTCCTGGTCTTCTCACATCTTGCTAGTTACTAGAAAGATGTTTCGCTTAACGTTCTACGTTAGGAAGTTAAGGCAGTCCCGTATAAAGCAGTCTTTGCTTTCTCAGTTTGTCAACTCTTGTATTCTAACCATCCCTCTTTACTGCTCCCCATTAATCTTTCCTGGACTACTTGAGAAGGACTTTGCTTTGTTGCGTAGGGCACTAAAAGCTGTTACTAGGGCAAGTGGGATTTCGTTAAACCAACTGGTTAACACTTTTGTGGATGACATATAATGTCATGTAAGAAACTAGCGAATACTATATTGTCAGACCCCGAGCATCCTCTCTATACGCTGCTCTCTCCTTGCATTTCATTTGGTAGAACTAGAAGCAACTATAGGAGGCTATATGCCAGGACTACCAAGTACAAAAACTCCACAATACCTTATCTGGCACAGCTGTTATGTGATGAGAAAACTGTTAGGTATGACACGATCAACTTACTGCGGCACTCTAACAAATAGTTCCCATTAGCTTTTGTTCTCCTTTCTTTGTAACTATTATATTGTTGCTCACATATTCTATTACACACTAGTTTTATATATCATATCCTGTGTCTCATCGTTTAAATATGTGAATGCAATGCTGTTCTTTTTTATTTCTTTTATTTCTCTTTTTTTCTTTTTCTTGTTGTTGCTTTTTGTTTTTAAAATCTTATAAAAATTTATGAGGTAATTAGATGCAATATTGTAATGCACGCTGAAAATTCCCTACCTGTACCACAAATACTGTTTGGAATAAAGCTATTATTATTATTATCCGGTCTACCACAATTAAGAATATCATCGATAACAATAGGCAGCCTTGTCTTACTCCTGTATTCACTTCGAACGCCTTGGTGAGTTTTCCGTTGTAGATTACCTGACACATGGCATTGTCATATAGCCAGCTGTTGAATGACGTTGATAAAGATTGGGAGTACTGCACTACATTGTGTTGAAGTAGTTTCTAAATCACTTCTCAATCAACACTGGCCGTTGAAGTCCTTTCCAAAGTGACGTGAAATTGACGTTGGGGTTTTATCAGTTCATGCAGTATATTTTAATCCACGCATTTTGTCATTTAATAATGTGAGATTATTTATTTATTTTCTTTAAAAAATAATATAAATGATAGACAACTGAGAGCAATGAAGCGCTCTTTGGAATCAAGAGATTTTAATTACCCCCCAATGACTAGTTCATATTATTTCAGATACTTAAACCCCCCCACACACACACACACCAAAAAATGGACAGAATTACAATACACAGGTTAAAATTCTAGACAAATAAATATTGCTAGCCTGAATTTATTATTACTTTTTTGTTGTTTTTTTGTCTTGATTTTTCGTAGATACGTTTTCGATACAATGCATTTCATGTGATTGCTTCAAATGGCAATGTAGCCTTACTTCATCTTCTATTGAATTATTTTGATTCTGATGCCTTCTGGGAACGTATTTATCCTAATGTTAGTAAACAAGCATCTTATTGGAGGCAACAGTATGTTTTAGATTTATACTTGAATAGTCCTGAACTTGGAGTAAGTTAAGTTGTTAATGATGTGCATATTATTACCTCTGTGGTCTCTTTTGTTTATATTTGATATGAAAGTCTTTTTTTAAAAATGTCGGCAAAATACGATTGAATATTATCATTCACTTCATCGCCTTACTTTCCGGGTGGAGTACATGCCAGTTTACGCCGTCTCTGGTTTAGTAGACGTGATATCCGGCTGGCTATCGATCAAAGGGCACGTGTACTGCTCAGCAGCATTTCGTTCTGTCCTCCTTTATGACTAGCTGTAAGTGAGACCTGGCCATTGAGAGTAGAGAACATGAAAAGACTAGCTGTCTTTGATCATCAGTAACTGCATTCTATCTCTCGTATGAAGTGGTATAATGGGGTGAGCAATATTGAGGTTAGGCATCGGTCGAGTGCTAGGTAAGGAGAAGGGAAAATCAATCGACGAGGCTGTGAAGCTACGTCAACTGAGATGATTAGGACATGTTGGAAAAGAGACGCTAGCGGTCAAGCCAAAACATTGCATCAGTCAGTGAAATCCACAACAGTTAGTTTAAGCCATGTAGGAAGATGTAAGCTTGCTGGTTAGGGTCTTCGGGATGGTAAAAACCAATGGCTGGAGACAATCGATGATACGGCTGGCTCAAAATCCTCGTTGTCGATGGCGTAGATGCATGCACTCCTTGTGACTTATAATTTCCAATACAACTATATTGTTCTTCCATATTACTGTTCTTTTGTCTCAAATCCCTGTCTACTGTCTCTATTATGCATTTCTTTTTACTTTCTTCTCTTGCTTTGTGTCCTACAAGAAGGGAGTGTGGCTACTTAAACTGCTGCACATTGGTGGAAAGTTCTACGTTGAAACTAGCCAGCCGGTAGCATATATCTCCATTGCACTCAATTCTAGTGTTATATTTCTAAACTTGATAAAGGTATCATTTGACTCCATCGACTGAGAAGTGTTGGGGACAATGTTTTCTGGTCATGAAGAGAGTGCCAAGAATGTATGTCATACTAATCAAGGTATTCTACTCAAACTCACACAGTTTTGTATTAGAGTTTATGAGATGTCATCTGAGGCGATAACACAACCAGTAGTGTCCGTCAAGAATGTTTGTTGTCTCCTTTTTTGTTTAATTTCACCATAGTTGGACTGATGGATAAGAATTTAATCGACTTAAAGCTACGTAAGGATTCAATTGTTATCAAAGGTATAGTCTCGTCGATTAAGGGGTATGCGAATGTTATTTTTCTTTTGGGTGAAGACCCTGACTAAAGATAAAGTCTTTTAAACAATTGGAGTAGAAATCTTGAAATGTTTGACATGGGATTAGCTCCTGTTAAGATGTAAGATAATGCTGCAGTACCGGTTTGCACTGACTCCCAGTTAAAGGATAGGGAGTGAAGTTGTCAAGGGTGTTGATGACTTAACTTATTTGGGGAGATGTATCAGCCCTAACAGACGGGTACGAAATTCTGGTGTGAAATTTTTCAACCTAAGAAGTCTCTAGCTTAGATGTGATATCCGGTCGTCGATCAAAGGACATGTGCACTTCACTACGTTATGCAATAAACGTTCACTTTAAGCTGTGTAAATTACCTCAAATTGTTTTGCATATTGATAAGCAGACTTAAATTATCACTAAAATCTCAAGTAGGAGTTTGTCTGGTTTAATCTGAAGGACACATATTACGAATAATACACAGTTAATAATAAAAAATCCTTTTATCTCCATAGAAATTACATGAAGTTCCTGCTGACCACTTTAGTAATCTTGCATCAATAGTTCATTGATGAGATTCTCACCAACCACGCCACACATCGTCCGGAATCGACTCCCGAGCGACGCACTCGTAAACCTTGCTCAACCAATAGTAAGACTGGTTAACAGAAAAGGTTAGGCATGCTGCAAGCAGCACCACTCCGTTAGAAAGAAAAAAAACAGCAACACCATAGCTATTGAAACTTCAGGACTCGAGCTTGAAGCCTTATTTTCTACTAAGAAAACAAAGGAATGAAAAAAGAGTTGGTTATTTGATCTGATCCATTAAGCTTAAAATATGTCAATATTGTATAAAGCTCTTTCGTATATGTGTTTGTTAAATAATGTGAACCTAGATGTTCCTTTTGGTCAAGACACTAAAAATGTTTAACACAAATGTTCTAATGCATCAGAATGCAGAAAATTGGAGTTGGTAAAAGCACAGAAGTTTCTACATGGTGTGTAACATTAGCTTTATTGGTGTGTTGCCAGCCTTTTCATTTCAGCACTAATTACTTACATTCTTGCGTTACAAACCATTGTGTTAGTTACAAAATTGTTGAAAATAGTTACTTCGTTCTAGCTTAGAACTTTCTGGTAGTGTAGACACATGACCTTATGAGGAATAGGGCCTGAAACCACATGAATATTAGGCAAGCAGTTTGTCATTCAACTAACCGGTCACCGCAGCTAGACCATCGAGAAAAACCAACTTTTGTTAGTTCGTGGTATAAATAGCCACTGTCATCTCTTGTTAACGGTCGACTTTATAGACGCTCATCTTTCTTAGCCTTATGAGTGTCAGTTTTAATTGAACAATAAACCCAAAGAGAGAGCTTTCCAGTGTCCTGACTGACTGACTGGTTTGAACATAGAATGTCGCACAAATGTGCACCAGTTCAAGTTGCTACACTCCTTCCTTGTAGTACACCAATCAAGAAAAGACAGTAAAGACAGATTCAAAAGAGAGGAGGTAAAAAGAATAGTAGTCATATAGAAGAACAATAGAGCTTTATTGGATATGACTGGCAAATCGCAAAGAGTGAATGCATCATCGCCAGTCATTGACAACGAAGATTTTGAGCCAACCATATCATCAATTGTCTCCGGCCTTCATTGGTTCTTACCATCTTGGCCACCCCCAACCAGTCAGCCAGCCTGTCTACACCTCCCTACATGGTTGACTCGAACTAACTGTTATGAACTTCATTGACTAATGCTATGCTTTCGTTTGACCACCACCAGCTGTTTTCCAACCTAGCCATATGTCAGTCACCTAACATCGACCGTTGGAGAAAGCGATGACTCAGCATGCAGCTACTTCACAACTTCGTTGATTGATTTTCCCTCTTCACCTAACTACTACTTGGTGCCTAACCTCAATGTTACTCACCCTATTACACCATCTAACACGGGAGATAGAACACAGGTACCTGTGATCAAAGCCAACTAACTGGGCTTTTCATGTCTTCCATTGTCAATGGCCATGTCTCATTCAAAGCCATAAAAGAGGACAGAGCGAACTGCTGCTGAGCAGTACACACGTCTTTTGATCGGCAGACAGCTGGACATCATATCTACTAACTAAGGCAGAGATGGAGTAAGTTGGCAGGCAAATGAGAAACAAGTCTCATGTATTCGTGCTGAGATTTCGCCAGCGATCAACGCGTTGGACTGGCTGATGGAACTTCCCAAATAAGTGGAGTGGTCAACACGCCCCACCAAACACTTCACTCTCTATTTCTAAGCTAAGAGTGAGTCAGTGTAGTCCAGTTCAGTCCTGTAGCGTCATCTTTCATTTAACAGGAGCGGGTGAATCCCATGCCAAATACCCGAAGATTACTGCTCAGCTCCAGGTGTTCAGAAGACCCTGCACTTTGTCAGCATATTCATCTCGGAGGGAGGACTATATCATGCGCATATTCTAAGTCAACAAGATTATTTCCTGATAACCCGTGACCCTTGTCTGTCTGTTTTCGACATAGAACTTTGCACCGATGTGCGGCAGTTCAAGTCACCACACTCCATGTAGCACACAAAGCAAGAGAAGAAAGTAGGAGAAATGCGTATTAGAGACAGTAAACAGAGGTGTGAGACAAAGGAATAGTAATAACGAAGAACAAAACAGTTTCATTTGAAATTATAAGTCACAAAGAGTGGATGCATCTGCGTCAGTCATTGGCAACGATTTTGAGCCACATCACCGATTGTCTCCAGCCATTGGTTTTTACTGACCCAAGGACCTCAATCAGCAAGTCTACCCCTTCCTACGTGGCTGGCTTAAACTAACTGTTGTGGATTTCATTGACTGGTGCCATGTTTTCGTTTGACTGCCGCTAGCTCTTTTCCAGCCTGGCTCTATATCAGCTAACATTGCCCGTCGAGGAAGGCGATGACTAGGTATACGTAATACATGTCCTAACCATCTCAGTCGATGTAATTTCACAGCCTCGTCGATTGATTTCCCCTCCCACCTACCTAGCACTCGACCGAAGCCTCACCTCAATATTGCTCACTTTAGTATACCACTTCACACGGGAGATAGAACTCAGACACCTATGATCAAAGACAGCTAATCTTTTCATTTCTTCCACTCTCCCGTGACCCTTAATTTCCAATGGTTTTCTAGATGGTGTCAGTTTGTAAATGACTTCTCCATAAACTTAGTCTCATGTAGTATCTACCATTTGTTATCATTCCTTTTTTTCCCTCACCCTTTCATTGAATGTGAATTTCCTTTTCTTTTTCTTCATATTTTTGTTTAGAATTATGAAACTCCTTTACACTTTGCTAGTAAACATGGACACATTGAATGTGTTGCAGTTCTAGCACGTCATCCTTTAACAAAAATTAATCCACTCAATGGGTCAGGTCAAACACCAGCCGACTTAGCTGCAAGTCGTTTAATGAATACGAGAGGAAAATCCCAGTCGGATGTAAACAATTTCAATGAGATAGCTGAGAAAATACGACAAATTTTAGACGAAAGGTAAGATCACTCTAGACGTTTTTCAATGAGTGTGTGTCTATGCATATATTTGTTGTGTTGTACTCAATGTTTTTCAACTGAGTGTTTCTATTTGGTTCAAAGAGACTCTTGACGCACGCATCGCCAATAGCCTTTCCAACAGTCCATCGTAGACTTTCATCAGCAGTTGCCTTCTCTGGCTCCATGTTGACGATTAGATTGCCGGCTAGAGAGGGAGAATAAGCGGTGGAGAACTTTGGCAAACAACGAATCAACCAAGAACCCATTGCCCAGCGAATATGCAGAAGGCAATGAAGATGAATTGGACAAGTTGAGGGAGAAATTAAGCATCAGCCAAGGTTTCGAGTGGAAACACTGAGTTAGGCTTGGGTCCGAGAGTGACAGTGATGAGATCACTTGATGAAGGGATAAAAGCTTGTGGTCATTCGCGAGGCCAAATAGGAACAAGCTTCAGATGACAGGTTGAAATGCAAGTGTGTAGTAGGAGCTTTGTGTTACACTCGGTATAACGACAGAAGGCAAGAGTCAGGCAACAGATCATTTATTAAGGAAATCAACGCATATTTATATATGTTTTCATGTACATTACTATGGATATGTAAACAAACAAACACAGTCTTCCGATTGGTTGTTTCTCACGAAAAATCTTGGGAACGTAAATATTGACGTAAATTACTGTCTACCAATTCGGCTAGTAGACAGCTCTCACCACACTCGTCCCCCCGTCAAATGGCTTCGCGCGCAGGCGTTCCGACCTTCTGGGTGATGCATCCTCTCGTTGATGATTGTTACAGACCGGCTTGTCCCAATGCACCCATCGTTGAATCTGACTGGCGTTAACTCGTTTTTGTTTGTCACCTCTTCTGATGGTATATACTTGACCCCGTCTTTTTGTGACTGTGTATGGTCCTTCCCGTTTTGGAAACTGTTTGCCTGACCCTGCCGCACATTCGTAAGTATTTCGGCTCACACGTTCATATGCTGCTTTCTCCCGACCACCCAGCAGCGTCCCAAGTAGCAGCGTCATCGCTGACAGATCTTGGACGCCACTCAACTGCGAAGAAGCCTCAAAGTCCTGCCCGAAGATCCATATGTTTTCATGAAAAACTGCAGGGTATAGGCTTTCCATTTGTCGGTCGGCAGCGACACCAATTGTAACGACAGAAGGCAAGAGTCAGGCAACAGATCATTTATTAAGGAAATCAACGCATATTTATATATGTTTTCATGTACATTACTATGGATATGTAAACAAACAAACACAGTCTTCCGATTGGTTGTTTCTCACGAGAAATCTTGGGAACGTAAATATTGACGTAAATTACTGTCTACCAATTTGGCTAGTAGACAGCTCTCACCACACCGGTACCCAAACGAATATTAATAATATCAGGATTAGGTGTTTTATGAACCAGGTTATGTGCCACTCTTTGTGATTGAGGGCTGGCGATAAACTCCGCAGTTGCTCGGGTTGAGGTCGTTTTTTCTAGGATCTAATGCTGTTACTTAGTTACCCGGGACCTTGAGATTAGAAGTCGAGCTCGTAGATTATTCAGCCTAATTGTGGTTTCATTAAATACCGCGAATCATCAGAATTTAGAAGTGATAAACCACTGGGCCGAGTCCCAGAATTTGAATGGTCTACAAGCCCACGTTGTAACCGGAAGCTCCAGGGTTTAAACCCGGCGGGTGCGTTGCTGATGAAGAGCCCCAAACTAGGGCAGAACAGTTGTCAAGTACTCCCAGGTTTTCCAATGGTTCTCTGACTGTTGCCAGCTGATAATCAGTCCTGTAAATGTATTCACATAAAAATGCTTCAGTTGTAGTCAATGTTTGCCTACATATAGTAATAATAATAATAATAATTTACTTTATTCCAAAAACAGTACTTGTGATACGGAATGAAATTTTCAGCATTAATCACAATATTGCATCTAATTTCCTCAAATTATAAATAAAAATTAGTCACACAGAAAATTTTCCACATTTACAATAGAGGTAATGTCAAAAACATGCAGCATATAAAATGGAAATAATAATAATGATTACAGCTAAGGTAGTAGTAATAATAATACAAGTGGAAATTGCCGTGGGCTTGTTTCACACAGTATTGTCGATGGGGTATACAAATCCTAGGATGTTTAAAAATATTGAATATAATGTTCTCTTTCCATGATATGGTGAGGGGAAAAACAAAGATTACAGCAGTCATAGAGATAAGTTGGTGTTTGCGATTACGAAAGTAACAGCAAAGAAGCAACAGGACCATAAATATAATAGAAATCATAAAAGTAAAACTTGAAGGTATATAAGGATGGATGGAGGAAATCGTTTATTTACTAAATGAAAAAATGTTAGTCAATTCTTGCCTGACGCTATTTTCATCACATAAAATACGTGCTAAGTATGGTATCATAGAATTTTTATACTTAGACGTGCGAGCATACAGTTTTCTGAAGTTACTTCTTGTTCTACCTGAGGAGGAGATGCAAGGTGAAAGCTGAGGGTGAAGTGGATGCTCCAAGTCAGACAAAATCCCTCTAGCAAATTTATTGCACGAGGTCAAGTGCCTATCGACAACGATGTTAACTATGTGGTCCACTGGGACACCACTCGCCCTACTAACTGACAGTCTTCAGCATTCTACGAATTGTGACAAAGTCCTTTTTAAGCAAACCAGGAAAGAATAAGAGTGAACAATAAAGAAGAATAGGTAGGATGCAAGAGTTTATGAACTGTAAGAGGAGGGGTTAAGTTATACCCGAATGCTTTAACTTCTTAATGTAAAATGTCAGGCGGGATATTTTACTGGAGATCGCTAAGACATGGGAAGACCAGGAGAGATCAGAAGAGAGAATAAATCCAAGATACTTAATTTCTGATTTAATTCCTGTATCATTGTCGTCAATCTTACAACTGCCATGAGAATCGACGGCTTCTTATAACTGTCTTTTACATCTTAAGCTGAAATTAACAGTTTGACATAAGACACAACATTACTGCTGAACGATTGAAGTTGCCATATATCATATCTTTGCATCAGATAAAAAAGGAGGAATAAAATTTTTTTAAATGACATTATTCAAAGCTCTCGCTGAACATTGTTTTTGTCTGTTTACCTTTCATGTACTTAAAGGTGAAGGTGTGGCTTATTGGCTTAAGCTCATGACTTTCACTTACTGGGTCCCACGTTCAAACATTGCTTCCCATAATTGATTTTTTTAAAATTTGATTTTGTTCCTTTATGTTGCTAGTGGAACTTAGGGCTTCAACCTAGAGCTTAGAAGTTTCGGTAGCAGTGGTATTCACTTTTAAGGGAGGGGGCTGCTAGTTTCATGAACAACCTTCCGTCTTCACCAGTTTCATTACTGGTTCAGCGAGATAAAGGAGTGTGTCGGTGACTGGGGATGGAACACCGAACCGCTTGCGTGGTTGGTAGGCATTCTACCGCTGTGCTGCCGACTCTTCCCATACTCAGCTAAATAGTATCATTATTGGTTACGCCAAAAGTGTGGCAGACAGGATGGCACATATGTAAATCTGTTCGGGTAACTGAATCTTAGCCATTTGACCAAGTTAGTTAGATCTCTGTGAAACAAATAAATTTATACGATTCGATTCTACTCTAACTTGTATGGCTGAGTACGATCCAAAGAATCTCCACATACCATAAACTGTTACTACTACTACTACTATCTATTTAAGTAGTACATTACAGTGTTACATAAAAGTACATATTAAAGTCAAAATCTAACCTTCCCTCTTAAATCGGCTTACCGCTGGCCTAAGCGAGGTCTTGAAGTGTACCGGCTGGAGGTCGGAGCCGGACCACCTGTATGTTATGCTGGTATTCTACTCCTGAGCCCCCGACGCACAAGACTTGAATTGACGGATTGTCACTGATGGAGTGCATGTTGACTGAAGGTAAAAATGGGTCACTGCAGGATTCGAACTGGTGTTCAACTAGTCGACCTATAAGACCCACCGGTTAACCAGAGTATCACTTCACTACAATAACTAAGGGTAACGCCCAGCTATTTCTTCGGTAGAGAGTGTTAAAATCTACTATTCGACTACCTTGTCAATTATTCTTTGGACTAGATGGTTTACTTAGAAGGCTTTTTTGATCAAGCATTATGCATCAGTGTGCTTATGCAGCTTATAGATCGTTTGTTATTGATTCTTAAAGTTTCTAGTATATCGTTCCATTTATTTCAGAGTTTCGATATTTGTGGAATAATTGAAACAATTTCTGACGTGTTTGAGTTGAAATTCATATTATATGAGTGGAGACTTTTGATAAGTTTGTATACCAACCATTTTGGAGCTTAAAGCACCCCTCTGTCGAAATCAGTTCCCCCGCCCAGATATTTCATGCTCCAGGCTATCAGCCGTACTTGTATGGGGATGTTGTTATTTACTACTATCCAGGTTAAGGTGGGCGAAGTGGGACTCGAACTCAGAATTCAGTGGTTTAAGGACTGAGTGCTTAAGGCGATGAATGGCGCAATTGGTTCTGTCCTCCTTTATGACTGTGAGACGTGACTATTGAAGTTGGAAGATGAGAAAAGACTTGCCGTCTTTGACCACAAATATCAACGTTCTATCTCCCGTGTTAAGTGGTCTGTTCTTTTGAATCTCTCTTAACCACACACACACACCGCTTTTCTTCACCTCAGGATGCCTCATGTAGTGTTGCATGTGGAAGTAACTGCTTCATTTCTGTGCAAAGTGTTATACTGAAACCAGTTAGCCAAAAGCCTTTCAGTGTGTTATCCGTCAGGAATGCCCACTGTCCCCATTTCTGTTTAACTTCATCATAGATGTACTAATGGACTTAATCCTAACTGACTTCAGCGACTCAGGGATTGACTTGTTACCAGGGAATAATCTCGTTGACTTAAAATATGCAAATGATATTGTCCTCCTTCCTGGGTGAAGACACTGAAAAAATAAAGCAGAGTCTTCTGAACACCTTAAGCTGATCACCAATCTTCGAATGTTTGGCATGCGATTCATCCGCTCCCTTCAAATGTAGGATGATGCTACAGGACTGAACTGGACTACATTGACTCCTAGCTTAGAAATAGGGAGTGAAGTAGTAGAGTGTGTTGACCACTTCACTTTTTTGGAAAGTTGCATCATCCAGCCCCAGATGGTTAGTCTCTGACGAAGTCTCAGCACGAATACATGAAACTTGTTTTGCATTTGTCTGCCAACTTACTCCATCTCTGGCTTCGTAGATGTGATGTAAGAAACTAGCGAATACTATATTGTCAGACCCTGAGCATGCTCTCTATACACAGCTCTCTCCTTGCATTTCATCTGGTAGAACTAGAAGTAACTATAGGAAGCTATATGCCAGGACTACCAAGTATAAAAACTCCACAATACCCTATCTGGCACAGCTGTTATGTGATGAGAAAACTGTTAGGCATGACACGATCACCTTACTGCGGCACTCTAACAAATAGTTCCCATTAGCTTTTGTTCTCCTTTCTTTGTTACTATTATATTGTTGCTCATATATTCTATTACAGACTAATTTTATATATCGTATCCTGTGGTGCACTGTTTAAATATGTGAACGCAATACTGTTCTTTTTTTTATTTCTTCTATTTCTCTTTTTTTCTTTTGTTGTTGTTGCTTTTTATTTTTAAATTCTTATAATATTTATGAGGTAATTAGATGCAATATTATAATGAACGCTGAAAATTCCATACCTGTACCACAAATACCGTTTGGAATAAAGCCATTATTATTATTATTATTATTATTATTATTATTATTATATCCGGCTGGCTATCGATGGAGGGACGTGTGTATGCTGCACAGCAGTAGCAGTTCTCTCCGTCCTCCTATATGGCTGTGAGACCTAGCCATTGGGAATGGAAGACATGAAAAGCCCGGCTAGTTGGCTTTGATCATAGGTACCTACGTTCTTTCTCCCGCGTGAAGTGGTATAATAGGGTGAGCGATATTGAGGTTAGGCACCGAACGAGTGCTAGGTAAAGAGGGGAAATCAATCGACGAGTCGGTGAAGCAGCTGCATCGATTGAGATGGTTAGGACATGTGTTACGCATGCCTAGCTATAGCCTTCCTCGACGGGCGATGTTAGCTGACGTATGATGGATCAGGCTGGAAAAGAGGAAGTCAGTGGTGGTCAAGTCATAACATGACTTCATCAGTCAATGAAATCCATAACAGTTAATTTAAGCCTCACGTAGAGAGGTGTAGACTCCCTTGTTAGGGTCCTCAGGATGGTAAAAATCAATAGCAGCTGGAGACAATTGGTGATATGGCTCAAAATCCTCGTTGTCAATGGATGGCGCAGATGCATTCACTCTTAGTGATTTTTAATATCTAATAGGACTCTGCTGTTCTTCTATATTACTATTCCTTTTGCTTCATATCTGTGTTAACTGTCTCTATTTTGTGTTTCTTTTTACTTTCTTCTCTGGTTTTGTGTGCTACATGGTGTGGTGAATTGAACTGCTACACATCTGTGGAAAGTTCTATGTTGAAACAAGTCAGTCAGTTAGTATTGACTTAGTAGAGTACCCCTCTGATATAATGAAATGTAAAAATAACTCAGATGAGATGAAATTTTTCTTCTTTTCTTTTCTTTTCCCCACAGTTATATTGCTCTCGTAGATATAGAAAATTCAGGATCAAGTATAATACAGACAAAAATTTTACCACCCTTAGATACACGTAAATTTCAAGCCTTACTTTGTCAATGTGGTATTACATCGAATGCGTGTAGAACATTTACCAGCATAACTTCAGTAAAACCATATCCGACAGCACAAAACAACAACTCCGCGTCATCAAAACAGACTAGTGACTTGTATGAGAACAGTGCTCTGCAAAGACAATCAATACTTGATGAATATGACGGTCAACTGAAACGACTACGAGGTTTTTCAGGACCAATGCCATCGAATACAGTGAGTTTAAAAATATACGTTTTATCATGAATCTTCTTGATGTATACTGAGTAGTACTGTGCGTATTTATTGCTTCAATTTATTATTATTATCGTTGTTCTCTTAGGTTCTGAGTGGAACATAGGGCTTCAGATCCACGTCATTCCCTTCTTTGCAGGCCTCTTTGTCTGTCTCCATGATTGTCCATAAGCGGCTTTCATTTTACCTTCACACGATATATCCTCCATGACACCAACGGATGGACCCATGGCCAAATTGTCGTTTTCCATTTGAGTTTCACTTTAGGGGACTCCCTGGCGCGTGTAGTATCAACTCTACACAGTCCCCTCACAGAGTATGTCTAATCCATCCACATTTCTTTCGGTGCATTTGTTGAGCAAGAGGTTCTTGGTTGGTTCGTTTCCAGAGTCTCCTTGTTGCTAATTCTTTCTGACCGGCTGGCCATCTGATTTCCAGTGTGAAGATAAGGGGATGGGGGGAAGTTACTGATGAAAGTCTTCAGTTTACTGTTAAAAATGCTTTTCGTGACGTGGTTCTTACTGCTGGTGATTCCCAAACTAAGATAAAACAGCTGTCCAGTACTCCCCCTGGTGGTTTTCAATGGTTCCCTAACTGATATCAATCTGTGATCAACTCGTAAAAACATAACAAACCCTTACAAACCAAACTATAGAAAATTTAAAAATTACTCAGTTCCAGGTGACATTTCACCACAGTTGCCTTTCGAAACAGATGGATGTACATATTTTCAAGTATTGGTTTTTCTAGGGGTTTAGTTTGATTGGTTGGAGGAATTCACCATGAGATGACATCAGTTAGAGAACTATTGGAAAACCGCCACCAGAGAGTACTGGACACGTGTTTCTGTGGTCCTAGTTTGGAACTCTCCATCAGATCTCACTATATGTGATCTCCCTGTACACAATAAATGATGATTAAGAGAGTAAGCATAAGCGCATGATACTATATATATAAGTGATTGATTGACATCATAACTCCTATCTAGCCAGCTAGCACTACCGGTTAGTGTCAGTGATATGCAACTACTAGTATTAATCAGGCATTCGTATGTAGCATCATGCATTTATGGTTACTTTTTTGATCGCCATTTATTATTATTATATTATTGTTTCCTTTAGTTCCTAGAGGAACATAGGGCCTCATTCGCACGTCTTCATTGCGTTCGGTTCTCTACTTTCAATCATCTCTCAGAGAGCTTCTCTACCCATGATGATTTCCCTTCCTGTGTTGTGTGGTCCCAGTTTGGCGTTCATGTCTCCCATTAGTACTTTAATGTCACCAGCTGGAGTATTATCCATTGTTGCCTGTAGTTGTCTGTAGAATTCTTCTTTCTTTTCGAGGTCTGCGTTGTTTGTGGATGTATAGCATTGTATAACAGTCACTTTCCTTACTTTTGAGTTGAATCTGACCGTCATTATCCTAGGCGAGATCGCCTCCCATTGTATCGGGGCCTTCGTTTCCGTTGGTGACATTATGATAGCCACACCCTCAGTGTGCTCGTGGTTGTCTTCTGGGTGACTGGGGTAGATCATCGACTCTCCCGTTAACAATTTGGTGAGTCCACTCCCATTCCATCTGCTTTCGGATATTCTCAGTACTTGAATATCATATCTTTTCATCTCGTTTGCAATCTGTGCAGCCTTGCCAGCCTCATACATGGTGTGGACGTTCCATGTCCCCACATAGACTTTTTCTTTTGGTGCAAGAAGACTCATCGTACTGAAGTTTCTTTAGCAGCTTTGTTTACAGAGTGTGGTTGCTAGCAGCACCATTCAGTCAATAAGATCTGGTTCAGTAACCCATGAACTCCAACTTCTACTGATTCGTGATTATACCACGACTAGCAACCAATGTTATCGGTGAGTATATGTTCTCACTCCCTTGTAACCGTGGAAAGTTCTACGTTCGAACCCTGCGTGGGTGAGTACTACTGATGGGTGCCAAAGCAGAACAGAACAGTTCTCCAGTACTCCCTGGTGGTTTTCAATGGTTCTCCACCTGATATCAATTTGTAGTCAAAATTTGAAACAAATCCAATCCCTAAAAACTAACTCATCGTGAAATTAACTATCCTGTGGAACTAATACACAACTGAAAGTGTGATTTATTTTGTTAGGTCTATGAAGTTAAGTATGTTGGATTAATTCTTTCTTCTGACCTATCCTGGTCTTCCCATGTCTTAGCGATCTATAAAAGCATATTTCATCTGACTTTTTACATTAAGAAGTTAAGGCACTCAGGCATAACACAACCCCTTCTCTTACAGTTTGTCAACTCGTGTATTTTACCTATTATTCTTTACTGTTCACTCTTATTCCTTCCTGGATTGCTTAAAAAAGACTATGTCATACTTCGTAGAACTCTGAAGACTGTCAGTCAGTAGGGCGAGTGGTATCCCATTGAGCCATATTGTTGACATTGTAATTGATGATAGGCACTTGATTTTATGCAATAAATTTGCTAAAGGAATTTTGTCAAACTGTGAGCATCCACTGCAGCACCCACAGCTTTCACCTTGTGTCTCCTCAGGTAAAACAAGAAGTCTTTTCAGAAGAATTTATGCATGTACGTCTAAGTATAAAAATACCACTATACCATATTTCGCTGCACTTATTTTATGTGATGAAAATAGTGTCAGGCATGAACTAACTAATCTTCTTTGCATCACTAAATAAACCATTTCCTTCACCCTTACAACATAAAAATTTATTGTTATTGTGCTTATATTTCTAATCCTCTCAATTTTTTGTTTTTTGTTTATTTTTTTCATAAGTGTGAACATCATTTAAGCTGTGTTATGACTTTTAATTTTGTATTTCTCCTCTCCATACTGCTTACAGTTATTTGGGTATGCATTTTGTATCCGAGGTCTCTTATGGTGTGTTTATCAGTGATTGCAGACATTTGGTTAGTGTTAATACATATGTAGAGAAGACAGAGGTGAGGAAGATAACCAGTCAACAGCAACAACAAACAGTATCAGTCACTGTCGACGCAAGGAATTTGTCAGAGGTTGCCTCCTTCACTTATCTGGCCAGGAAGCATGGTTTCAACCAAAGGCAATCGGAACGGATAAGGATATCAAAGCCAGCCAGCCAGAATCGGAAAGGCAAGATACGTCTTCATCAACGTGAAACCAGTTTGAAAATCTTCTACTGCACTCCGTCAACATAAACAACAAGATTCGGATTCTATTCAACACAAATGTGAAGTCGATCAGTTCTTCTATACGGGTCAGAAACTTGCACTACGTGTCAGTCACGAAAAGGATTTCCAACGAGTTACAGACCCTTATCAACAGTTGCCGCCTTCGCTCTATACTGAAGATCAAATGGCCAGCTGACTAGCCAGAAAGAATTAGTAACAAGAAACTCTGAATGGTGACGAACCAACCAAGGACCTATTACTCAACATATATATATAGGAGAAAAAGGAGATGGATCGGGCATACGTCGAGGAGGCCATCGAATGATATCTCACTCAATGCAAGCCATAGCTCGAGTAGAATTCCAATGTGAATCGACGAGTGGGGCGTAGAACCGTGGACCCGGCGAATAGAACAAATTGGAGATGTATTGTTGAAGCCGTATGTTCCACTTGGAATCCAAGGGAAAAATAATAATTAAAATAATATTCATTCCCTTTTTCTCATATATTTGAAATTTATAACATTTCATATAACACGCTATCTATCTACCTACCTATCTACCGTAGTACCATTCCATTTCAGTCTCTTTTCGTTCTAATTTGGTTTTGCTCTCTTTTTGTGTGCACTGTGTATCGAACTGTAGTGAATCGAATTGATCTGTTGTGAGTAATTGTACAAAGTTCTGTATCTTATGCATCGTAGTCGACACACGCACATCCACACTCACACACACACACATTCATACGAGCATACGAGCAAACGTGTATACGTTTGTCGAGTAGAGAACCTCTAACTCATTTTGCGCTGTTATATATATTGAAACAAAGTTGCTGTTATTATTATTATTATTGTTACTTGTATTCATTTTTGTTTCGTATATTAAATGAGTCACTGGAGAATGCAAGGACTTTAACCATCAACTTTTATGTAAGATAATTTCAATTATGTGTTGGGTCGAAATATTCTTCAGTCTCACTTTGTGACATGTCAACAGTTGGCTTTCCAGTATGGTGGACACTTCACAACAATGTGTGTGTGTAGATCAACATTTTGTGTTATTTTTGTCAATGGTGGTGACTAGCTTTGTGGAGTCAAGGATGTACATTTCGTCACTTTCAAGCATCGACGTGAAATACAACATGAACTAGTTAGTTCCCATGGTGCCTGTAGCATATAGATGGCACTGAAATTGAAACCAAGTCAAGCATTAAATACCTTGGATTAGTTCTTTCCTCTGACCTTTCATGATCATCCCACATCTTATCAATCTCTAAGAAAATGTTTCGTCTTACCTTCTACATTAAAAAAAAAGTTAAGACAATCAGGTATCAACCAACCAACCTTTACTTCTGCAGTTCGTAAACTCCTGTATTTTAGCTATTGTACTCTATTGCTCTCCATTAATCTTTCCTGGGCTTCTCAAAAAAGACTATATCATATTACGAAGGGTATTAAATGCTGTGAGTAGGGCTTGTGGTTTGCCACTGCGTGAGCTCGCCAATACTATAGTCGAGAGACACATAAATTCCCGTACAAAATGGGCAGAGGCCGTACTGCCAGACCGCCTGCACCCCTTTATTCACAACTATCCCCTTGTATCTCATCAGGTAGGACGAGAAGTCAATATAAGAAGTTATATGCTCGCAACACTAAGTACAGAAATTCTACAATACCGTATTTAGCCCGTATTTTATGTGATGAAGAAACTGTTAGACGTGAAACATATAAGTTACTATGTAATTAGCATAGTGAATCGACCCTTTCATTGTTCATCTTTCTGTAATTCTATGGTGTCACCCTTTCTATCGTTTAATTATAACTTTGCTATTTTTATTTTAGTTGTTATTACTATTATTACTATAATTTTATACTTTATGCGTATTTTTCTCCTTATCGTATACTGTAATTGCTACATAGCTGCTATAACATCGTTTTGTTATTATTATTATGTAATGTTTTTTTTGTCGTTTTGAGTAAATTAGATGCAATATTGTACTGAATGCTGAAAATTCCCTGCTGTGTCATTAGTACTGTTTTTGGAATAAAGCAAAAATTATTATTATGATCATTACCTATTGGTCATCTAGATGTAGCTGAAATCCCCCCACTGAATGCTGTTTGTTGGTGGTATCGTCTTCTCACTGATACTTAATGGGTAGTGCTGTGGGGATTAACAGGTTTATCCAGCTAGCTGACTGACTGACCAGTTCCAAATAAAATGGATTCCACTGTTAGTCATGATTAGTCCATAGACATCATGGTGCATCTGTGCACACTAGGCGGTGATATGTCCCAACTAAGGCGAAATATTTCCATCCAATATAATGAATCAATGGGGAGTAGAAAATTAATTTAAACAAAAATGATAAAACAAAAATAATAACTTAATATACATCACGAATTGATAGAAGTTAGAATTCATGGACCATTGGGTGTGGGGGCCCCAATGGCTTAACGGTCTAAGAGCTCGTCTCGTAACCAGAAGGTTGGATCCCGGTGGGCATGTGCTGATGAAGAGTCCCAGAGTGGGACGAAACAGCTGTCCAGTTCCAATAGCTCTCTAACTGATGTAACCTCTTAATCGATCCTGTAACTAATCACCTATCTCCCTTTACGCAAAAGGCGGCTGTCATATTCTGTTGGATAACACTCTCTGGCGTTTGAATCGATGAGTTCAGGGTTGCAGTCCCAATGGGGGACACAATCACTCACTAGGGAGGCAGGAGGGACCGCAAGTATCATCTGGTTGACGAGTCCCAAATACGACGAAACGCTCCTCCTGAATTCCACTGCTGCTAGTCATCCTTGACCAAAATAATATCTATCTTTATAGGTTGTTTTGCGCGTGTTTCAATGTTCTTTGTGTTCATATATAGAAATGAATTGAAATCATTTCACTTTACTCATTATTCATGTGAATAATGCTGTAGTCTAATTTCTGATAAATTTGTACGTATTGTGAAGTGTGTATGTGTGTGTGGAAATGGAGTAGTCATGCATACAATAGCGTTCTTATTTGTTTTAGTTCAGATGAGCTTTTCTCTACAGGTTGAATCGATATAAATTCTAATTTTTGGACACATTTGACTAGGTAATAGACAGTGTTTCTAGACTCTGTTTTGATGGTGTGTGTATGTGTGTAGTGTAGTGTAGTGTATGTGAAAGTGTGCTTGTATACTAGTTACGAATGTCACAATTATGTCTGTCTGTTTTCAACATAGAATTTTCCATTGATGTGCAGCTGTTCAAGTCGCCACACTCACTCCATGTAGCACATAAAGCAAAAGAAGAAAGTAAAAGAAATGCTAAATAGAGACAGTAAACAGAGATATGATGCGAAAAGAATAGTAATATGGTAGGACAATACAGTTTTATTGGATATTATAAGTCACAAGAAGTGGATGCATCTGCGCCACTGACAACGATTTTGAACCATATCACCGTCTCGAGGACCTCAAATAACCAGGACTGCACAGAAGCAACAGCAGTTCGCTCCGTCCTCCTATGTGGTTGGCTGTGAGTGAGAAATGCACATTTAAAGTGAAAGACATGAAAAACTTGCCTGGTTGTCTTTGATAACAGCTATCTGTGTTCTGTCTCTCCATATTAGGAGGTATAATAGTGTGAGTAATATTGAGGTTAGACGTGGAGTTCTAGTTAGGTAAGGAGAAAAAATCAATCGATGAGGTTGTGAAGCAGCTGAATCGATTGAGATGGTTAGGAACATGTGTTATGCATGCATGTCTAGTCATCGCCTTCCTCCACAGACACAGGATCAGGTCGTAAAAGAGCTAACTAGCGGTCAGACGACAACATGGCTTCATCAGTCCATGGAATCGACTTTCAGTTAATAAGTCCTAAGTTGGAATCTCGAGTCACCTACTTTATTCTGGGCAACTGGATAATAACATCACATCAGCTCCCACACAGACAATAAATGTGGCGCATACGCTGGCTGCCACATGAAACACCTGTCACTTGCAACTGACATCAAACAAAAAATGCATTTCCGGTGTTTAAAATGCTCTCTAAATTCAGAATATAACGACAGAAGACAAGGGCCAGGCAACAGATCGTTTATTGTGAAAATCAACAGATATTTATAGATTTTTATGTACATTATTATTCGTTATTTTTAGCAGAGAGGTAACGTCTTCTGACTGGTTGTTTTCTTACTGAAGGTTATTCTGTCATCTCTTTGTTGCCGTTTCCTAGACAGTCAGCCCATATATCTGCTTAACGTATCTGCCCACGCAACGACTTAGGAATCGAATTGTTACCAGGGAATAGTCTTATAGACTTACAATATGCAGATGACATAGTCCTGTTAGGGGAGGACGCTGACAAAATGCAGAGTCTTCTGAACATCTTGAGCAGCAATCTTCGTATGTTTGGCATGCGATTCGCCCCTGTAAAATGTAAGATGCTGCTACAGGACTGGACTACGTCAACTACTAGCTTAGTGATAGGAAGTGAAGTGATAGAACATGTTGACCACTTCACCTATTTAGGAAGTTGTATCAGCACCGACGGATCCAAAGAGCTCGAGCTGCTTTCGCTAACTTACACCGTCTCTGGCGTAGGTGTGACATCCGGCTATCAACCAAGGGACATGTGTACTGCTCAGCAGTTCGCTCCGTCCTCCTCTATTCTATGGCTCTGAAACATGGCCAATACGAGTTGAAGACATGAAAACGTTGTCTGTTTTTGATCATAGATGTCTACGATCTCTTTCTCACGTTAGGTGGCATAATAAGGTAAGTAATGTTGACGTTAGGCGTAGAGTGTTGGGCAAAGAGGGAAAATCAATCGAAGAGGCTATAAAGTTACATAGATTGAGATGGCTAGGTCACGTGCTGCACATGCTTAACCATCGCCTCCCCCGACGGACGGGCATTACTAGATGATATAGGTGCAGGTTGGAAAAGAGTAAGTGGTGGCCAAACAAAAACATGGCCTCATCAATCCATGAAATCCTTGACAGTTAAACTGAGTCAGGTAGGGAGGGAGATGCAGACTTCCGGTTTGAGGCCCGTCCTCGGGACTCTAAGAATCAATGGCTGGAGACAATAAGTGACATGGCTCAAAATCGTTGTCAGAACTCTATTGATTCTGTTCACTCATTTTGTTGTCTACCTTTGTGTGCTATTTGGAACGTGGCAACTCGAACTACTGCACTTCGGTTCCAAGTTCTATGTTGAATCCAGACAGACAGACAGCCCACGCAAAGTCTACTGTGATTGGTAATTGAGTTAGTCTTTGTTCTTGTTTTCTTCTCATTACCCCAAGATTTGGGACGTAAACATTGACGTAAATTGCTGTCTACCAATTTTAGCCAGCAGACAGCTCTCTCTCTCACACACTCGTCCCCCTGTCAAAGACTTGCGACTGAAGTTGATTCGGTCTTCTTGGTTCTGGTGGCTTCATTCGTTTGTCTTGCTGTCTGGAATTCCCGTGGTCGCTGAAGTGTTGGTTTACAGCGATTTGAATGAATACATGTTTGATCACAAGGTGACATCTGTCAGAGAATCAGTGGAAAACCAGAGAGTACTGAACAGCTGTTCCGTTCGAGTTTGGGACCCTTCAGCAGTACTCATCCTCAGGGGTTAGGACCCCAAGACGTTCGGTTACAAGGAGAGACCGTTGACGTTTCAGCCACTGGAAGCCAATCCAATGGTTTATGAGTTCCAACTTGGGCTTTAGGTGGCAGCAGGCACTAGGTTCGAACCCCGGTGGGTGTGTACTGCCGATGAGTCCCAAACAAAAACGAAACAGTTGTTCCGTACTGCCTAGTTTTTTTCCAATGGTTCTCCAACTGGTGTCAGCTCGGCAACAAAACCATGTCGTAGTAGTTTTGTATGCCCTCCGTAACACCATAGGTGTTTGACTCATTGCTAATTTGATATGGAAATTCGACTATTAATTGTTGAGTAAATATGCTTTTTAACTACAATATTTAACGGTGTATGGTAGTAGATAAAGGCCAGTTAGAGAGTGTGAAATTCTCCAACAGGAGGAGGTAGGTGTATCCGTCACTGCTGACCAACTGGATAAAATCTAGGGTACAGTAGGTTGAAGATGAGGCAGTACCTCATCTAAGAAGACATTGCGAAATGGTCGCTCTATGTCGTGAATTGGCAGAAGTTAGAATTCAAGGACCATTGGATCGGGTCCCAGTGGCTGAAAAATCTACGAGCTTGCCTTGTAACCAGAAGGTCCTGTATTCGAATCCCGGTGGATGCGTACTGCTGAAGAGTCCCAAACTAGGACGGAGGAAACAGCTGTCCAGTACTCCCAGCTGGTTTTCCAGTGGTTCTCTAACTGATGTCAGCTCATGATGAAATCCTCCATGCAATTAAAAATCTATTTATTCTATAAATATCCTTTCTATAGACAATTTAATAACAGACGTTGTTGTTGTTTTATATCTCTTTTTATTTTCTCTCTATCATATTTCCATTTTTCTACTAAAATAAAACAATAATTAAAATAGGCTGTTGAATTACGAAAGAAATGGATTCAATATAACATGCCCAATGCTATTGACTGTAAGGCTTTTTCACGTCTACGCTTAATTGATGCTGAAAGAGGATATGAACGTCAAGGAAGGTAAGTATGCCTATATATATATGTATGTATGTGTATGTGTGTATATAAATTTGATTTTACCTAATGACTTCTACCTATTGGGTACTTCAGTATAATATGTGTTGGTTTGCTTTTTTGTTTCCATTGCTAGTCAGGTTGATATTGATATTATTATCATTATTATTATTGCAGTAATGGGAATTTGCGTCAGCCAGAGCCAGCCGGTTGATCGCTGACGAAACCTCAGAATGGATACAGAAGCCTCGTTCGGCATATGCCCGCCAACTTACGTTATCTCTGGCGTAGACGTGATATCCAGCTGTCCAAAGGGCATGTGTACTGCTCAGAAGTCTGCTCCATCCTCCTTTATGGCTGTGAGACCTGGCCATTGAGAGTGGAGGATATGAAAAGATTAGCTGTCTTTGATCATAGGTGCCTGAGTTCTATCTATCGTATGAAGTGGTATAATAGGGTGAACAATATTGAGGTTAGGCTGTGAAGTTAAATCGACTGAGATGATTAGGACAAGTTTTACGCATACCTAGTCGTCGCCTTCCTCGATGGGTGTTATTAGCTGACACAGGGTAGGTTGGAAAAGAGAAAGCCACTGGCGGTCAAACCAGAACATAGCTTCATCAGTCAATGAAATCCACAACAGTTAGTTTAAGCCAGCCACATAGGAAGGTGTAGACGTCCTGGTCGATTGGGGTCCTCGGGACGGTAAAAACCATTGAAGGCTGGAGACAATTAGTGGTGATATAGCTCAAAGTGATCGTTGTCAATGGCTGACGCGGATGCATCAACTCATTGTGACCTATAATATCCAATAAAACTCTATTGCTCTTCTATGATACTACTCTTTTTGCCTCATCTCTGTTTACTGTTTATATTTTGCATGGGGCTTCAACACCACATCTTCATCTCACGCTGTTCTGGCTGTATGATTGTCCGTAGTCTACCATCTCTTCCATGTCACACGTAAACTCATGTTTAACTCGCCATTTCTCATTTGGGTTCCATTTGGTGGTCAGTATGGCGTGGGATGTCACTGGAAGCTTAGTGTTACGCATGCCTAGTCATCGCCTACCTCGACAGTCAATGTTAGATGACATAGGATCAGGTTGGAAAAGAGAAAGCTTGTGGTGGTGAAACCATAGAGGTGGACGGAGCGGACTGCTGAATAGTACACACGTCCTTTGGTCGACAGCCAGCCAGCCGGATGTCACGTTTACGCCAGAGACGGTGTAAACTGGCGTATGCGAAACTAGCCTTCTGTATCCGTGCTGAGATTTCGTCAGCCATCAACCCGTTGGGCTGGTTGATGCAACTTCCCAAACAAGTGAAGTGGTCAACACACTCTACCAATTCACTCCCTATTTCTAAGCTACGAATGAGTCAGTGTAGTTCAGTCCTGTAACCCGATGGTAATATGGAGGAGATCGTGTGTGTGTGTGTGTGTGTGTGTGTGTGTGTGTGTGGATGAAACGAAAGCTTGTAGGCAATCGTGAAGTCGGTTAGAAAAAGTAAATTTTGGAGAACAGGATGAAATGAAGAGGTACTGCTGAAGCCCCCTGTGTGTTCGACTATTAACCCCAAGCAGTAATAATGGAAGCAGCTTTGTTCCAGACAACATGTTTGCTCATAGTATAAGGAACGCTATTTTCATTGGACACCAGTAACTAGTGTCACGTGTCTAGTCCTTTCTTTGGTGCAGACTGAATTCTAGTTCGCCATCATATCATCATGAAATCGAAGTGCACCGTGATGGTGAGCTACCTAGAATGGTGGCCACATTGTAAACCTAACTGATAGAATTCAGTCTGCACCAAAGAAAGTACTAGACACGTCACACTAGTTACTAGTCTCTAATGAAAATACCCACTACAGTCCTACAGGAGGTCAATTGCGTGTCAGTCCGAATAGCTCAGTGGTAACGTCTCTGACTGCAGCACTGGGCGGCGCGGGTTCGAATCTCAGAATGGATGTGAGTTCCTTCAAGGTTGGAGATACACCTTGCTGACTGTTGAGTGCCAACTAGCACGAAACCTAGGTCTCAGCAGGGCTTCCCGCCAACTGCCTCCAACCATCTAGTATCATAAGGAACGCTAATTCGTATAGATCCTAGGACAAACAATGGATGGTTAAAGTAATTAGAACTTAGACGAAATTAATGACTTATGCTTAGATGGTAATTTAAGTAGACTACTGCAATCGACTAAACTTCAAACCATTCGATTATAACTTCTAGCCATTAAATTTTCTATCTAAAAGCCTATCTCTTATGTAACAATCTCCATATACTTACTATTATTTATTTATTTATTTTTAGATATCTGTCTCGTCTATTCGGAACCCAATGGTATGAATATTGGGAGTTTTTAGACGATTTTATTGATTTAAACACTGAGAAGGGCTTGTCTGCTTTAGAAGATTATTTATCTAACCATGAATTATTGAAAAATAAATACTCTTCAACATTGAACAATTGTAACGTGGATGCTTTGAATCCCACTAATCAAAATTATAATGGATCAAATAATTGCAATGCCATTGATGAAATCAATTATTCACTGTCGCCTACATCTACTCCACTTTTTAGTCAAAATAATCAAGATGATGATGACAATGATGATGTATTTCCGTGTGGAACACCAATAAGGCGATCCACAGCAAGTGTAAATAATACTGCTGTTAAATCAAATATCGATTTAAATAATAATGAACGTTGGTTATCTTATCGACAAAAAAGAGGATGTATACATGATTTAAATGACAGTTTAGAAGAAAGTACAGATCAATCAAATTCAAGTATTCTATCACATGAGTAAGTTTGAATAAAAGAAGTTAATTTATTATTATTGCTGCTATTGTATTGTTCAAGTGTTATCATTGTGATTCAGTGTACCCAGATTTAAAATTGGCGCTTAGTTAGCGTACAATCAGTTAAACAAACAAAATATATGGGATTAAGTGTGTACAATTCTGTTGACTTATATTATTAACATATTTACTGATAGAGAATGTCCAAGAAGTGATCACCGAAGTGATCGATGAGGCTATAAAGTTACATGGATTGAGATGGCTAGATCACGTGCTGCGCATGCCTAACCATCGCCTCCCCCGACGGGCATTACTAGCTGATATAGGTGCAAGTTGGAAAAGAGTAAGTGATGGCCAAATAAAAACATGGCCTCATCAATCCATGAAATCCTTGACAGTTAAACTGAGTCAGGTAGGCAGGGAGATGCAGACTTCCGGGTTGGGGCCCGCCCTCGGGACTCTAAGAATCGATGGCTGAAGACAATAAGTGACATGGCTCAAAATCGTTGTCAATGGCGCAGATGTATTCAATCTCTGTAATCTTTCATATTCCTTTCTACCATTACTCATTCATTCTGTTTCACTCTTATACTTGTCAAAACTCTATTGATTCTCTTCATCACTCATTTTTTTGTCTACCTTTGTGTGCTATTTGGAACGTGGCAACTGGAACTGCTGCACTTCGGTGCCAAGTTCTATGTTGAATCCAGACAGAGACAGACAGACCAGTAGTAGGTTTCTATGAAGTCACATGATAATTAAGGCCGAAATAAATCTATACAATGTTTAGCCATTGGTATATGCCAAACGAACCTTTTGTATCCATGCTGAGATTTCGTATGCGACCATCCCGCTGGGACTGGTTGATGCAAATTCCTAAATTAAGTGAAGTGGTCAACACGCTCCACCAACCACTGCACTCCTGTCTATCTTTAAGCTAGGAGTGAGTCGATATAGTTCAGTTCTGTAGCACCATCTTTCATTTGACAAGAGTGCGCGAATCGCATACCATATATTCGAAAATTGTTTCTCAAAGTGTTCCGAAGAATCCGCATTTTGTCAGTGTCTTCACCTAGAAGGGAGGACTATATCATCTGCATATTCTAAGTCAATGAGATTATTAGACAAAAGACAAGTAGTTCAGCAAAGAGTCTCTTTTCGGCGAATTCATTTTCAAAGCTGTACAATCGCAAATATATGTGGTTATTTTGTGTATATATATATATATATATATATATATATATATTAAATTTGTCAAACGAAATACGGTTAGTAAGTTCAAATGAATTGGATTTTGATAAGAGGATAGCAACAAAAGTGATGAGTTGTCAAAAACGATTGTTAAAGAGGAGTAAGTTTAGGTGAATTGGATGTCCGAATGGGAATTATTCATGAATGAGATTATTCTCTGATAACAAGTCAATCCCTGAGTCTCTGAAGTCAATTAGGGTTAATTCCATTCATGCATCTATGATGAAGTTGAATAGAAATGGGGAAAGTGGGTAGGGCATCCTTGATGGACACCACTTCACATGACAACTCTCGGTAAGCCCTCACCTGGCTGCGCGATTCTGAGTTAAGTACCTTGATCAGTACAATGTATTTTCTCAGCATACCCTTCACAGCCAAACATCGCCATAGTACCTCTTGGTTCATAGAATCGAATGCTGCTTTCAGGTCAAGAAATATTAGGATTATTGGACGGACGCCGCTAAGTATACCTATGTTCCAGAATCTGTCGAAGAGTGAAGATATGATCGATAAACCCTATTCCTGGTCTAAAGCCTGCCTGGTTCTCTCGTGTTTGTTCCTCCCGAGCGCCGCTTAACCTACGCATGATTATTAAGCCTAGAACTTTAAATACCATATTGGTCAAGCTAATCCCCCTGTGATTACCAAAGGAAGACTTGTCTCTCTTCTTGTATACTGAGACTATCTCTGATTCCGAGATGTTGCCTGACACCTTAGTTAACGCAGACAGTAAACTGTCTCCACCGTCCTCGAACACCTCTGGAGTCATTCCATCAGGTCCCGCTGCTTTGTCTCGTTTTAGACTAGTGACAGCTTTTGTAACCTCAGTGATGGAGGACCTGTGTCTATATCCCATTCAGGGAGGTATTGGATGTTCGGCAGGTTGAACGTGGCTGTAGGCCAATTAAATTGCTCCTCAAAGTGTTCTTTCCAACATTCCAGTCGTCTATCCTGAGAAAAAATTATGGTGCCATTTTTCTCAGAGATTGTTTCACTTATCGTTTGCCTTTTACTACCTGTTTCCCTGATAAGCCTGAATAGTTTTCTGGTGTTACCAATCGCCGATACCTTTTCCATCTCTTTCGCTTTTGTCGTCCACTATTGTTCACGGTTACTGTGAAGGCTTCTTGTTTGCTTGCGTTTGGGCAGCTTTCGCTCCTCATTGAATTCGGAGCTCTCTGGAATCAGTCTTCGTGCTTTAATCAGTCCGGATGAGGTAATAGAAGTCCACTGGCTCTTACTAACTTTTGGTTCCAGATCATGAACAGCCTTTACATCTGTGTCTACAGCTAAGTGTATATTGTGCCAGGCTTCCACAGAAGGAGTCTTGCTGTCGATCGCAGATACTCGTTTCTCCATTTCCTCCTTAAGTAGGGACTCAGTGTCCTCATCGAGTTAGTGGGATAATTGCTTTTCTGCTAACATTTTGATGTTCGTTTAACCGTAAGTATAAACGTGCGCAAATCGGGGCGTGATCAGAGTCTACGCACGTGTTTCAGAAGGAGTGTCTGTTTTCTACTGACCCTCGACAACGATAGCCTACAGCCATGTGGTCTATTTGAGTTCAACGTTGATTTGGTGACGGAGGTCGCCAGGTTAGGTAATGCCTCTCTTTGTGTCAAAATTTAGTGCTGACTCGAAACAGATGATTATCTAGACAGAATTGTAGAAGATGATCACTGTTGTCGGTTCGGTGGCAGGGAACCCCGTAGGCACCACCAATATACTTCTCAATCTTGCATAACTTCCCTACTTGGTTATTGAAGTCGTCTGCTAAAAAAACTATAATGAGCGTTTTACTTTTCGCAGCAAACAGGACATTTTTTGTTAGAAATCACCCTTTTATTGATTCGAAATGCAGTTGGCTGGGACGTAAGCGGAGGCTATGAGAAGACAACGACGGGTAACACCGTCCTTCCTTCTTCTAACGGACCTGTTCAGAGGGACCGCTCAAATACGACTATCTACTGGGATCCAGTCAAGAAGCGATTTGTCTATCCTAACGCTCACTGCTATCCCCATACCTGCGAGTCCTCGCGAAATAGCTGGAGAATCTCCTGACGCCCTTCAGGTCATTTCCACAGATTCATCTTGTTGGCCGCCAGCTGGGGTTAAGTGAATGACCACACTCGGGTCTTGTATGCGTGTGTCCGAAACACAACATACATCCATGGCTCGAGATACCAGAGTTCTTGCTAGTGATGCCTGTTGTCCGATTTGGCAGAGAGTTGTGACGTTAAATGCTCCTATATGAAGTTGGCGGCGTGGCTTTAAAAGGCCATCTGGGGTGTTTCTATGGCTCTCACCGTTGTTTGTGGTCACAGAGTGAAGTGAAGATGACTCACTAGCCTGCATAATAGTTATAACAGTGGGAGGAAAACAAGATGATGAGGATGACAGGAATAAGGGAAGATGCTGATCAGGAGGGCTTCGTGTGCTTTTGGAAGCGTGTGGGCGGTTGTTACTTCTCGGTTGCCTATACCGTGAAAGTTAATTTATTCTTGGGGTACCTGAAACAAAAAGAGAAATAGTGTCGCGTGACCGCAGAGCCCAGGGAACAATTGCTTGAGGCCAGTCACACACACACACGGTCTGTCTGAACTGGCTTTTTGGTTCGGTTCTGTATTAGTAACTTACCACCGGCTACGAACCACCGTAGGGTAAGTCGGGATGTAAGATTTTTAGGGTCAACTTTCTGGCATGCTGGTCATCTGAAGGAAACCCCTCCAAATGCCAAACAGTCAATTTCACCTTTAGGCATAAATCCGACCTAAACAAACTGGTTGGCTCTTACGAGGTGTGCAACATAGGTGGCATTGAAATAGAAACCAAGTTGGAAATTAAATACCTAGGCGTCATTCTATCTGCTGATCTTTCCTGGTCGTCTCATATCTTGGCGATTTCTAAGAAAATATTCCGTCTTACCTTCTACATCAAGAAGTTAAAACATTCTGGAATAACCCAACCCTTACTCCTACAATTCGTTAACTCTCGCATTCTGCCTAGTATTATCTATTGTTCCCCCTTAGCTTTTCCCGGGCTACTGAAGAAAGACTATAACATATTACGCAGGATGTTAAAGGTTGTCAGCAGGGTAAGCAACGTGCCACTTAACCAGCTTGTTAATATTCTGGTCGACAGGCACATGGACACATGTGAAAAATGGGCCAAATCCATTTTATCTAACTCACAACTCTCCCCTTGTATCTCACCAGGCAGGACCAGAAGCCTATATATAAAACTATATGCTGGCACTAGCAAGTACAAAAACTCAACCATACCCTACTTGGCTCGTGTTCTGTGCCATAAAGAAAGCATTAGGCGTGACACCTATAATTCATTAAATAGTCAGTACTACAACTGGATCTCGTCTTTCCAACTCACATCATTATTAGGTACAACATTTTCTTTCTTTCTTTTCCTTTGCTCTCTCTCTCTTTTTCTATTATGTGCTGCTTTGTTTCTTTCTTCTGCTTACGCCAGTAAATATGATAGGACCTACTTTTCTAACACCTTCAAACATTCTGTTCAGCTTTGACTTTGCTACCGACGTGCCAATGTGTTGTTGTAATAATGAACTGTGATTTCCTTAATCTATGTAGAATTCTATTTATTGATAATGTACTAACTGGATGCAATACTGTAGTAAAAAAAATGCTGAGAATTCCATTCTGTATCACAAGTACTGTTTTGGAATAAAGCAAATTATTATCATTATTACTGTTACATCCCTGTTCCCCAGCAGTACGACTTTGCCCGCAGACCCCCAGATAGTGTAAAAAAAGTCTTACACTATGCCGTTAACTGCTTTTAATCTAATCTCTATCCTAAAAATCTTCGTAGCATGGTAGGACCTGCAGGAACAATAGTTTTAGCCAGTGTAGCTTGTTGGGTCATTGCGATATGCAAGCCCGGTGACCACCACGTCAAGGTATGTGTATATATTTAGTGTTGAGCTTAACATGAAACAAATTTTTTGTGTTACGCTCTCATAAACACAGTCGTTCCTGACATTAGGCATTATTTAAGTGTATACACTGACTGATTGTTTTCAACATAGAACTCCGCATAGAAGTGCACCATTTCGAGTTGCCACACTCCATGGAGTAGCACACAAAGAGAATTCAAAAGAACTAGAATGACCAAAAATGTGCAGGAGGGGAGAACAGTAACAGGGAAGAACATAAGAGTTTAATAGATATGTGAAATGACCGAGGGTGAATACATCTACGCCAATCGAGGACAGCTTTGAACCATATTACCAAGTGTCTCCAATCATTGGTTCTTTGCTATAAGTGAACAAAAGGAGTGCACTTTATTTATTGATTTCTGTGATCTTTCATTTTTCTTTTATTGAACTGAAATAACCAGTCTCTGTTGGTAAATAAACTCAAACAGATGCCTTAATTATTTATTTGATTTTAATTTAATGACCGTGATCGATATCTGCTACTCTACCGTGAGCTATGCCGACTGAAGTGAGTGTCTCTCCAAGTTGTGTGATATGGCAGGAAGGTCAATTAAGATATTGGCAAGGCCGAAAACAGTTACTATATCTATCACAAGGAACTCCGCTTATAGTATTTTGGGTTTTTATGAAAATTGGTACATCTGACAAAGAAAAATGTTTCTCTCCAGCAACAAGTGAGTTAACTATACTCCCTCCTTGCACTGAGAAGGAGAGATTAGAACATTTAGGCTTAAAAATTCGCATATTCCAACTCACGCTAAGGCATAGGTAGGTAGTCTAAAGCTGCTTCTAAAATTTCGGCACAAATGAATCCCTGAAATTCTTGTTACTTCCAGATAGACTGTGTTTACAGTTGTAAGTAGTCGTCACTTGAGCTATATGGTCATTTCTCTTCCATGTAGGAGTCAGCTTCTTCAATGTAAGCAGGGAGAAACTATGAACGACCACTACGTAAAAGCTTCCATCAGTAAGCTAATCTCTCCTAACCATCACCATCTATCCCTTTCGTCTCACTCCTTTCCTCCTCCCACTAATAATACTTTATCTCATGGAGTTCCTCCGTCTTCACAAAACTCTAAGCATCGATAAAATTACTTCGTATTTACTAAGACCGCATTCCTAGGCTTGTCTCCTAGAATCCAACGTTCAGACCGTACACGTCATCAGATAACAAGTCTTGTCAGTTAAAACTTTATGCTCCTGGACTGAAGATGTGATTTATGTATCTTAGATAGACACCCAGAACCCACGTGTGGTTATTTATTCACTTAACGAACATCGGAATAACATTTATACTTCTTGTGAACTTGTTACCACTCTTAAGTACTATAGTGAGAAAAGGCATTACCTAACTGGATTACAGCAGGCATCCGTTCGTGTGCTGTCCTGCTAGGTGATAACAGTCTACAAGAAGGAAAGCTGCTCATACTCTTCCTTCTCCCTGCACCTACGCGCCGTATTTTCATCATTATCAAGTTTACTAAAAAAAAAAGAGGATAAGAATCAGGGGCGGTTTTAACGTCCAGTTGATTAATTATGATAAGGAGGATATTAGCCTGGTAAACGGTGGTCATCTCATTTTCTTTTCCTCGTCTCCTACACAAACGATTGATTAGACTCCAGTCATGTGCTTGTGTATGTGGCCGATTAGGCGTTATAAGAAACACTCCGAATCCTAGATTAGAAATAGGAAGTGAAGTGGTAGAGCACGTGGACCGCTTCACTTACTTGGGAATTACCATCAGCCCCAACGGGTTGATCTCTGACGAAATCTCAGTACGAATACAGAGGGCTAGTTTCGCACATGCCAGTTTACGCTGTCTCTGGTGTAGATGTGATATCCGGCTGTCTTTCGACCAAAGGGCGTGTGTACTGCTCAGAAGTCCGCTCCGTCCTCCTTTATGGCTGTGAGACATGGCCGTTGAGAGTGGAAGACATGAAAAGATTAGCTGTCTTTGATCATAGGTGTCTGCGTTCTATCTCCCGTGTGAAGTGGTATAATAAGGTGAGCAATACTGAGGTTAGGCGTCGAGTGCTAGATAAGGAGGGGAAATCAGTCGACGAGACTGTGAAATTACATCGACTGAGATGGTTAGGACATGTGTTACGTATGCATCCCTAGTCATCGGCTTCCTCGACGGGCAATGTTAGCTGACATAGGGTCAGGCTGGGAAAGAGCTAGCGGCGGTCAAACCAAAACATGGCACCAGTCAATGAAATCTACAACAGTTAGTCTAGGCCACGTAGGGAGGTGGAGACTTCCTGACTGGTTGGGGTCCTCGGGACGGTAAAAACCAATGAAGGCTGGAAACAATTGGTGACATGGCTCAAAATCGTTCCCAATGGCTGGCGCTGATGCATCCACTCCTTGTGACTTATGATTTCCAATGAAACTGTTTTGTTCTTCGTTATTACTATCCCTTTGTTTCACACCTCTGTTTACTGTCTATATTATGCATTTCTCCTATTTTCTTCTCTTGCTTTGTGTGATACATGGCGACTTGAACTGCCGCATATATGTGCAAAGTTCTATGTCGAAAATAGACAGACATAAGAAACAGGTTTCAGATCTGTCGTATTTACGTATCCTTTAAAAGGAATCATCTTTTCTTTTCCTTTTTAGAGAAACATCAGATAGCGATGAACCGATACCCAGAAAAGTAACAGAAAGTCCTATTGTTGGACTATTGAAACGTTTAACTTTTCTAAGTCCACTTCATTGGTTAAAATCAACATCCAAAAGAGGAGGAGGAGGAGACGAAAACACTCAGACATCTTTAGATAAGTCAATTACATCTGAAAATAACACATCTACAAAGCAGGAACTTGTTAACAATAAACCTTCTAAATCTGGACTAACAAACAAGCGTAGAATATCAGCAACAAGCATCCAACGTTCACATTCTTCCACAGATGAACCTGATGTGAAAAAACCTTCTCCTGAAAAGGCTAGAAGAGATTCAAATCGCCAAGAAAAAGATGACGACCCGTCCGCCACCACTGCCACCGTTTGTCTACCACATTATTTAATTGATATTTATAGAGCGTTGCCAGGAAATGAAAATGAATTAAACAGCTTTAATCCACCGAATTTATCATCATTTGAAAAGAAGAAGAACCCTTCTTCATCGTCATCACTTTCACCTTGCCCCCAACCACAACCGGCATCCACAGCTGCTGCTGCTTCTGCTGCTCTTGACATATCGAAATATCCTAACTGTTCCCAATTGAATGAATATATACATGCTCAATTATATAAAACTTCAGTTAAATCATAACTTGCTTGCTAATCTCTTATGATTATTTTTTATTCAAAACGCGTTATATTATTATAAAAGTATAATAATATCATTCAAAGATTATTTATTTTATATATGTAAACACAAAGATACTGTCTATATGTACACAATTTTCATATGTTTATACCTAAATCACATATACATTTATATATATATATATATACATTTTTTGCTGGTTTGTTTATTTGTTTATCTGTCTTATTATTCATTATTCCTTCAAAATTCTTCAACGTCGATGAATTCTTAATAAAACGAATGCTTCATATGAATGAAATAACAAATGGGTTCTTACACGCCATACAAGATCGAATAAGAAAATCATCACTTCATGCAGTTGACTGTTACGTGAGAAAATCATTTATTGGTGTTTAACTCTTGGTGTGTGTGTTTCCTCCCACAGAATATGCTTCTAAAAAATGTATAAATATAAAAGTTAAATGGGATAACTATAAAAAGTTTATTTATCACATAAATTATCTAAAGGTATCTATCCCCTAGTGACGTAACGGAAACTTATTTAGAATAAAGCGAAGAACAATGAGATGTTTTGTGCAGAATAAAATGGGATCATCATTGGTTATTTCATTGGCTTCTCATCAGCTGCGTGCATAGTTTAAGAAGAAATTAATTAATTCTATGGATAGAACAATTTTACACGATGTCAGTTGATAGGAGGCTGAGATTGACTTTTTACCAGGGGATAATCTCGTTGAGTTAGAATATGCAGGTGATATAGTCCTCCCAACTAGGTGAAGACGCTAACAAAATACAGCAGAGTCTTTTGAACACCTTCAGCTGAGCAGGAATCTTCGGGTGTTTAGCATGCGATTCACCTGCTCCTGTCGAATGTAGGATGAGGCTACACTGACTGAACTGAACTATATCGACTCAACCCTAACTTAAAGATAGACAGGAGTGTGCAGTGGTTGGTGGAGTGTGTTGACCACTTCACTTATTTGGGAAGTTGTATCAGCCAGCGCAGTGGGTTGATTGCTGACGAAATCTGAGCACGGATACATGAGGTTCGTTTGGCATTTGCCTGACAACTTACGCCATCTCTGGCTTAGTAGATGTGATATCCGGCTGACTATCGATCGAAGGACGTGTGTGCTGCTCAGCAGCAGTTCGCTCTGTCCTCCTTTATGACTGCGAGTGAGACATGGCCATTGAAAATAGAAGACATAAAAAGCCCGGCTAGCTGCCTTTGATGCAACAGGGTCAGTAACATTGAGGTTAGGCGCCAAGTAGTAGTTAGGTGAAGAGGGAAAATCAATCGACGAGGTTGTGAAGCAGTTGCATCGAGTGAGATGGTTAGGACATGTGTTACGCATGTATCCCTAGCCATCGCCTTCCTCAACAACAGGTAATGTTAGCTGACTGACATAGGGTCGATGAGATTAGAAGAGATAGGTAGTGGTGGTCAAACCAAAACATGGCTTTATCAGTCAATCAAATCCATAATAGTTAGTTTAAGCTAACCAGCCACGTAGGGAGGTGTAGACTGCCTGACTGACTGGTTGGAGTCTTCGAGATAGTAAGAGTTAATTAAAGCTGGAAAAAATGGTGATATTGCAGTGCAGATGCATAAACTCTTTGGGATTTGTGATATCCAATAAAGCTCTGTTGTTCTTCCCTTACACGTCTGTTGATTATCTCTCTTTTGAATCTGTCTTTACTCTCTTCTGTTGGAGTGGAGTGTGGCAACTGGAACTGCTGCACATCGGTGCAACGTTCTATGCTGAAAGCAGTCAGTCAGTCAAACTCAACAAATAGTGCTCAAAATTCACACTTGTACAATTTATACCTAGAAATTTCAAGTTTAAACTAAAAATAAAACCTTGAACACAGCGGCAAAGAAGTTACGCAATAAAGACAAGAGATGAATAAGATGATAAGTAACAATGCGATGAGTCCAACTGAATTCATAGAAAAAAGAGACAAGCAAAGTTACAGTATATCAAAGGAGGGAGAACTCAAGGTTAAAGATTACATAGTCAAACGAGAAAGGGAGAGTACAGACATCCGGTTGCCAGGATAGTCGATGAGAAGTCAACGAAATAAATAATGATGGTACCATCTTATTCTGCACAAGACACTGTTTTTCTTGCTTGATTCAAATTCATAAGCGTATGATTGAAATTCATTAGTTATCGCTAACCGGTTAACCATAAGATAAAGGAAAATCAATCCGCACTTAGAAGAAAAAACTAGGATAGAATGAAAAAATATTTACATTTCAATTAGATCCTCTTCTATGGCTTTGCTTTAATATATAAATATATTCATTCACACAGAGGCCTGGTAGTTTTAAGTGGGATGCAAATCGGCACTTTGTTCTTCACCCGATAAGATTCTGTAATGCTGGCTTTTTATATCCTGTATGAAGAACCAGGTGATATTAGATGGTTGGAGACAATCAGTCACAGGAAGCCTTGGCTGACGTAGATTTCGTGCTAGTTGGCACTCAACAGTCGGCAAGGCGTATCTGCAACCTTGAAGGAACTCATCTCTCTTCTGAAATTCGAACCCGCATCACTTGACTGATAGAATTCAGTTTGCACCAGATAAAGGACTAGACATATTACACTAGTTACTAACTAAAATCCAATCAAAAGTGTCCTAAATAGTCCTACAGGAGGTGAATCGCGAACCAGCCTGAATAGCTCACTGGTAACGTCTCTGACTGCGCCACTAGGTAACGCGGCTTCGAATCTCAGGAGGAACATGAGTTCCTTCAAGGTTACAGATACGCTTTGCTGACTGACTGCTGAGTGCCAACTAGCACGAAACCTAGGTCCCAACCAGGGCTTCCTGCCAACTGCCTCCAACCATCTACTATCAACAATTGAAAGGGCACTGTGATAACGAGCCACCTAGAAAAAAAATATATATTCAACTACTGATTGATTGTTCTTACTACATCTTTATTCAGCCATACTGATAGATGTATTCGAAGCACGGAAAACAAATTCCCTAGAGAAACAGCCAATATAACTAGCTTCACATGGGTTGTTCAACTGATAGATGCAAGAAGAGTTGGCTAGTCTAGTTACCTTGATCTTTCAGTTTGGGAATAACAAGTAGATGAGTGAGAAATTCGAAAAAAAAGACAAACATATTGATGAACTGCAGTAACCTGAGGAGAAAGGAAGGAAGGAAGGAGAGAACTGGAATTTAACTCCAATGAAATATACCAGAGACAATTAGACATACAGTGGACTACACATGAATATGCCCGAGGCATTGTCTAGAAATACTTTTTATATGTAATCGCCAGATGTCTGGCATGTGGACATGCTGTTACAAATAGAAAACATAACAACAAGAGTGATTAAGTGTTGGTGTGTTCGATTAGGAGGAGGGTTTAGAAGACAAAGCTGAGAAAACAAAACTATGTAGTGACAGTCTAGTCAGCGTGTAGGATATACTGACGATTAATAACAAAGTGACAACTGATAGGGTCAGTAATGCAAGATAAGGGCAAAACAACGCATTCTTAATATTTGATTGTTTTCATTTCAAAGACAGTAAGGACTGAACGAAGAAATAGTTACTTTCCAATCAGGTATTCATCTATGGTACTACTACTCCACTGGATGTACAGAATTATACCAATCTAGTGGTAGTGGTAAGTTTGCTAACAATATCTAGTTAGTTAGAGAACTACTGAAAACCATGGAGTACTGGAGTACTGTTTCATCCTAGTTTGGGAATCATCGGCAGTACGCACCCACTGCCAGAGTTTGAACCCAGGACCTTCTGCTTACAAGGCAAGACAAATCTAATCCTCACAAACCAACTCTTGAAAATTAATCTGATGCTCGTTAGTGATTGGCTGGCTACAGGACGGAGTTTCCTGGAGTTCTAGTGAGAAGTGACCAATGAGGGTCCATTCAGTCAATTGTGAGGATGGATGTCCCGCCGATGACATTAACTGGTGGTCGCGTTAGGAATATATATGAAAGTAATCAGGTGTTACGGGGCGAGAGAATAAACATAGGTCAAGTTATAAGTTAATCTTGAAGGTCAAATAACGACAGAGATCAATTACCAAAGAAAGGATGGTAACCGTACATCTACCCTGTTATCAAAACAAGGTTTACCAGGGAAGGTTTAGTGTGTGATGAACTGTTTTCGAACTCATAAAGGTGATTTAAACTTTCTAATTGCTGGGGCTTCCACAAACTTTAGGATACGCCCCAAACACATACTACTGATAGGTTTAAAAGAGGTGTAAACATCAACTTTATGTCCTATAGCCATAATATCTGTCACAATAGAACTAGTTAGTGTGTTTTCTATATATATATATATATATATATATATATATATATATATATATATATATATATATATATATATATAAGACGGAATAGCGAGCAAGGAGTGCAGACGTACCAATGCCACTCAACACAATGTGTTGGATTACGCGTCTTTCTATTTGCAGTACGACGACGAATGCTGTGCACGAGTTGTGAGGCATGTTTCCCCGGCATCGCGTTCTTCAGTATTGTTCAGATAGTGGATTCATAAGACAGCCATATTAAACTTTAGGCACCAGTAACTACCAGTACCAGTAACTTACACCGTCTCTGGCGTAGGCGTGACATCCGGCTGTCAACCAAGGGACGTGTATACTGCTCAGCAGTTCGCCCCGTCCTTCTCTATGGCGGTGAGACGTGGCCATTGAGAGCGGAAGACATGAAGAGATTGTCTGTTTTTGACCACAGATGTTTACGATCTCTTTCTCGCGTTAGGTGGTATAATAAGGTAAGTAATGTTGACGTTAGGCGTCGAGTGTTGGGCAAAGAGGGAAAATCAATCGAAGAGGCTATAAAGTGACATAGATTGAGATGGCTAGGTCACGTGCTGTGCATGCCTAACCATCGCCTCCCCCGACGGACGGGCATTACTAGCTGATATAGGTGCAGGTTGTTAAAGGGTAAGTGGTGGCCAAACAAAAACATGGCCTCATCAATCCATGAAATCCTTGACAGTTAAACTGAGTCAGGTAGGGAGGGAGATGCAGACTTCCGGGTTGGAGCCCTCGGGACTCTAAGAATCAATGGCTGGAGACAATAGGCGACATGGCTCAAAATCGTTGTCAATGGCTTACGCAGATGTATTCAGTCTCTTTAACCTCCATACTCCTTTCTACCATTACTCCTTCTGTTTCACTCTTATACTTGTCAAAACTCTATTGATTCTCTTCATCACTCATTTTTTTGTCTACCTTTGTGTGCTATTTGGAACGTGGCAACTGGAACTGCTGCACTTCGGTGCCGAGTTCTATGTTGAATCCAGACAGACAGAGACAGACCAGTAACTACCAATTGTGTGCGACCACCCCAATCGCTTTGAAACTCAGCCAGAAAGTTAGTGAAACTAGGCAAATGATATAGGAATTATCAATAAAATATGCTGAATAAAGTGTTTCAGTACTAAACAGGATTTCGGGTAAGTTCGATTCGTTAAGCTTGGGAAAGATTAACTTACGAGTAGTTTAGGAATAGTTTCACGTTAGGGTTAAGAGGCCTAAATGAATGCATGCACAGAATTTGGAGTAATTAATACATTGACAAGTGACCCTAAACTATAGCAGCCCAAAACGAATCTACCTAATGAACAGATTA